TTCCCACTTCTTTCATGTGGCCTGACTTGGTACCAGACTTCAAAACTATCGCTAGACACTCCGTTACCCCTGACCTAGTCGGTGTGTACCAGATCAAACAGCAGTACCGCAGGCTTTTCTTCCACTCCATATAAGCGTACAAGCGTTATAGAGCGTATTGCACGCGTCATGATACGTTTGACGTTTGTTCTTGCAAATTGCTTTTAAACGTTCCTTTGCTCAGTTCACTGCCACGATACACCCATGCCATATGTCAACCTACGCGTATCTCAACCCCTCACTTATATCAACTCTCCATGCAATCCCAAATAGAGTGTTTAAGTGGAACATCGCCAGCCCTCCATGCGCTCTCCCTCCTCTCAAGAGATGCGATCGTGAATCGTGACAATGCAATCTTTATACTTTTGTTATTATCTTTTGTCCAGATGAAAACGTGCCTCGATCTCACGACTATGATATCACTTTGATGCATACTCTTTAGACATTCCCAGCATCGCCCTTGAATGAAATCTTGCTCGAGAAAGCACCAGTCAAAATTCTTTAAAAGTATAAATTCTTCAGACGTTAGATCCCTTGGGTCGGCTTCACTTGCTTTACTGAATCAAGGAGTACCCCTCTCTACAGAGAAACGGCTGACTATAAGCTTTCAAAATTACAGTGTACCCTCCAATGCAAAAGTTATCCAATACCTGGGTCTACTGTGTGCATCACAAGTATACTAGGTAATCATAATGCATGTTAATAGCATGAAGAAGTTCCTGAGCTTAAATTTGATGCTATTGCTAGCAGCATTCGATTTAGTGGTTTTGTGAAAGGTCTAGAAATCGAATATTATATAAGTTCATCGACCGATGCCATATTATTTTACTGTGCGGGAGCGGGTGGGTTCTAAGTTCTAAGCTGCCTTTTCTTTTTCCCGTTGCTACCGGCGATGGAGGGGTTTCGGTACGTACCTAGTGGTGACTGTAGGTCGTGTTCCCGTTATTGACTCTTTTCCTACCCAGGTTGAATATCAACCAATACATAACGTCTGAAATGTATATATATATACCGTATAGGAAATAGGACATATGAGTATGATGACTAAAGTGGTTGTAAGAACCCCAAGTACAATATGCAGCTAAGTGCCCTTGAGTATTTGATATTCGACAAAAGAACACGGACCTGAGTGAAGATGTCAGTCAAGGTGTGGTGTCTCAAAATTATTATCCGTTCTACACCCGCTGGTTCCAGTTCATATGGCTAACCTCGGAATGTTGCCTGAGGACATCAACAGGTTCCGTAACAATCCGCTCGGAACCTTTCCGCATCTCTGTTGTTGAAGGACACTGAGATGTACCTACCTACAATATGTAAATAGTTTCATGTCAAGATACATATTGAAATTTCTCAATTTCTTCAATTCCCACCAATTTTTCTTGCAAAAATCAAGCACACTTGCTTCAATTGTCTTCGCCAAATATTTCTACGAGTTTGGAATTCACCGCCGGACTTCCCCTTGAATCCCCCACATACCGAATCTCATCCTCAATATAGTAACACACCCACCGCAAAAATCTGTTGAGAATCGCTTCCCCTTTCTTCATCCCTTCCAGATTATCCACTTGCAGTACACTCCTCTTTCCTAAAGTCAGCCCGTATACTACCATCTCATCAAATCACAACTATGGGTTCGCAAATTCCTCCTAATGGATCCGAATCATTAGCTACAGAGCTTTGGCGTCATTCGGATCCCACTTCCACGCGCATGCACGAATTTAAAGAAATTGTTAACAAGAAATATAACTTGAACTTGAAAAGTTATGATGATTTGTATGAATGGTCTATTGAAAATATAGCCGAATTTTGGGGGGAGACTTGGTGGCTCACGGGGATCAGGGCGGAGAAAGGTTTTGATAAGGTACGTAGGGAGCTGATTTTTGTATTGTCATGTGATGGGAATGATTCCTTGGGTTAAGATTTTGAGGTATATGCCGGATAGGGAGATGGAAGGTCGACAAGGTCGATCGTGTCTTCTCTTAAAGTGCCGTTTGGGCTGTGATCGAGGGACATATTTGAGATAATTGAGAGAACGATTGATTTGAGGCGTAGTAGTTCTATGTACTTTGATATCAGGTCGGCTCACAAACGATGAAATCATTCCTGCAGAGGAACTCTACACATTGTCCTAAGACTAAGAATGATAGGTGGTTGACAATGATGCTCCAATGTTTCCTCGACCCAACTTTTTTCAAGGATCTCTCCTCAACTTTGCCGAAAACCTCCTTTACCCCGCTAATCTTACTATTGACCCGGATTCTCCAGCTATCATCGCCGCCACAGAATCCACTCGCAATACTGTCTCATGGGCCGAACTCAGAGAACAAGTTCGAAAATGTACCAATGCCTTGCGAACGCTCGGTGTCAAACCTCATGACCGAGTTGCCGGGTTCGTAGGAAATCATACGAATACCGTTGTGGCAATGCTAGCTGCTGCATCTATAGGAGCAATTTGGACTGGTGTCAGTCCTGATACAGGAGTTGCGGCTGTATTGGATCGATTAGTGCAGATCGAGCCAGTCGTACTTTTTGCTGATAATGGGGTCGAGTATAATGGAAGGTTTCATGAGAGTTTGACTAAAACACGTGAGATTGTAAAAGAATTAAAGGGGCTTAAGCGGTTGATTATTTTCGATACTGTGAATCTTCCAATTGAGATTAAAGGGTTCGATATCAAGGATGGGAAAGCAGAGACTTATGATGAGTTTTTGAAAAGGTGGGTTATTTGAACATTTTTCGCTTTCCATTCTTCCTAAATACTTACTTACAAACCCTAGCGCTACTGATCCAAATGCCCCATTAAAGTTTGCACAACTCCCACCAGACACTCCATTGTATATCCTCTACTCTTCAGGGACAACCGGAAAACCCAAATGCATCATTCACTCTTCTCTGGGCACTCTTGTCCAACATAAAAAAGAGCACATCCTTCACTGCGATATCCGTCCCGGTGATCGCCTTTTCTACTTCACAACGTGTACTTGGATGATGTGGCATTGGCTTGTATCCGGCTTGGCTTCCGGAACCACTATAGTTCTCTACGATGGATCACCTTTCAGACCGCATTCAAATCTCTCCATGCCTCTTCTCATCCAAGAATTAGGAATCACTCACTTTGGAACCAGTGCGAAATACCTCTCCATTCTCGAACAAAACAACATTCTCCCCTTGAAACAAAACATCAATCTCTCCAACCTCCGCGCAATTTACTCTACTGGCTCACCGTTAGCTCCTTCAACTTTCAAGTACATCTACAACGCCTTTCCCCCAACTATAAATCTCGGTTCCATAACAGGCGGCACAGATATTATTTCCCTCTTCGGTGCCCCGTCCCCCCTCTCCCCCGTTTACACTGGCGAAATCCAAGTCCGCGCCCTCGGTATGTCCATAACCGCCTATTCGCCCTCCGGATCTCCCGTCCCAGCCGGCGAACCAGGAGACCTAGTTTGCACCAAACCATTCCCCAGTCAACCCACTACATTTTTCTCTCCCTCCATCCCTGACCCTTCAGAAACCTCTTCAAGCCCATCTCCAGGCGATAAAAAATACTTCGAATCCTATTTCGAAACTTTCCCTGGTGTATGGCATCATGGCGATTTCATCAAATTCTCCCCCGCAACAGGAGGAATCTACATGTTAGGTCGCTCGGATGGCATCCTCAAACCGTCCGGTGTCCGCTTCGGCTCGGCTGAAATCTACAATATCCTTCTCAAACACTTTCACGCCGAAATCGAAGACGCGCTCTGTATAGGACGACGACGTCCTACAGATGATGATGAGACGGTCGTTCTTTTCGTGAAGATGTCTCCGGGCTACACATTTAATGAAGAGTTGAAAGAAGACATTAGGAAAGTGGTGAGGAAGGAATTGAGCGCAAGACATGTGCCTGGAATTATCGAAGAGTGTTTTGAAATCCCCGTGACGACGAATGGGAAGAAGGTCGAGGTGGCGGTGAAACAGATCTTGTGCGGCATGGATGTGAAGATTAGTGCGAGCGTAGCGAATAGAGAGTGTTTGGATTGGTATCGGGAGTGGGCGGGGAGATATTAGGGTAGGTGCTAGATTTTGGGGATAAGGGAGAGATGAGGAATGAGGACGTAAGAGTTGAGTGATGAATGAATGGATGGATGAATGCTTGTGCATAACACAAAATAAAACTAGATCATATTAGATTGGAGAAGGGAAAACTATCAAAAATAGAATCGGGTAATTAAATAGGTAGATAGATATAGTCCAACAAACAAACCGCAGTCAAGATTTAAGAAGAAAATAAGTCTTACAAATATCCACGTATGCAAATGACATTATACCTCACTTTTCCTTTACACTCCATACCTGTCTATGTATCGCGTCAATGTGCATGTGCATATGCATATGCATACAAGAACCGCACGCTATACACGGGATAGAGATATAGACTTATACCAACAGTGGGTGCATGAATTAATAGAACACTTCCAAATTTTCAATATTTTTCATAAATTCATTCTTCAATTGTTTGATATCAAAATTCGTATTTTGATTGTTTTATCTCTACTCAAGAATTATAACAATTCCTAAAATAAATGATTCGATATATCAAAAGATATTCACAAGTTCATTTTCGTATTATCCCTTGAGTCCGTACACCCACTGGTGTACCGAGGAGCATAATCATACATTTGTTTCATTGATTGATCATCTCTCATCGATTCGTTCAACAATCTTAAATCTTAGGTCTTAAGTCTTTTATCTTTGCCTCGTCCAATCCTACACACATACTCTACCCTAATCCATCTTCGTGTATATAAAACCAAAAAAAAAAGACATTTCGCTTATCCAGTATGTGAGCCATATTATACATCCATCAATCCATCAATCAATATGTCCTATCGAACACCGAATATATTACTTATCATCCAATAATCCGTTACACCTAGCCAACACAACCCCAAGGTATTTCACTAGAAGCCGGTCCCCAACTAACTTTTCCTATTCCGTGCACTTGTTCTCGTCCCCGTCGCGCCTTTTCCACTATTGGCTCCCACATTTGAAAAATCCCCAATCGTCCCTTTGCGTCCCAATTCCCTCTTTGCCTTTTCCATTTCCCTCACCACGCTCATTTCTCTCTCAACCACTTCCTTTCCCTTTCCCTCCATGATCCCTTGAACCATCATCTGATACTCCTCGCCTTCTTTATCCATATATCCCAACTGCGTCGCTGGAGGGATATTTTCCGCCACTTTCTGTCTATCGCCACGAAGATTCATGAATTCGTTTATTTCATCTTGACTTTCTTCGCGCGGATAGATTACGGCGGGGCCGGTCGTAGCAGTGGAGTCTACGGAGGAGGCGAGTGAGGTGGTTGATACGTTGGAGAGGGCGCGGCCCATGATTGCTTTTCCGCGGGGTTGACGGGGTCGCTTGGAATTAGGATCGCTGGGTGCACCTGTGCCGTTTGGGATGGAAACGGAAGAGCCGGGACGTTTTGTTTTGGCGAGGAGAGAACTGATATCGATGGAATTTTCCTCGGGAGTTCGCGAGGTAGATGAGGAGTGGGAGTTTGTGGCGGGGGTAGGGTTTGTAGAGTGTGAGTTGGCGGGAATTTCAGACAGAGGTTCGGGTTTTGAAGGGGGAGGAGGGGTGAGCTCTGATGATTCGGGTTCGAGATGGATAGGCAGAGGAACCGACTCTTCCTCGTCTTTTATTGGGGGAGATTCGGTTTCTAATGGTGCAAAAGCACTCTCATCTAAGGGCGCAATGCGGCGTGTTTTAAATGAGGACCGCGAAGGAAGTGTGCTTGATCTAGAAATTGAGCCTCTGTTTTGGCTGATCGTCTGTTCCGGATTGCTGTCATGTCTTGGCACTGACTCTTTATTTGGGATAGGTGCCGAAGCTGGTTGTTTCGTGGCTCTGCATCTGTATTTGGCAAATGGTACTTTAGTTCCTGATCTAATCGAATCCCAAAGCCAATCGGCAGTGACAATTGGAATTTTCCATTCTTGAGCATGTTCAAGTTTGTCTTTGCGAAGGCTGACTATAGATTTTGTGACGAGAACTGAAGATTGTGGAGTCATGTCTTCGCTGTATGTACCCCCTAATAATTCGGTGGCTTTCTTCACATGAAGAATGTCAATACCGGTGAACGCTGCGGAGGAAATTTTCAGGCCATTAAAACCTTCTATAGGAAACTTGGGAAATGGTCTTCCTAGAACATGTTCTTTTGGCTCGAGATATTTCTTGAGGTGCAAACAACGTTCTACCCACCAGTCTGTAACCAATTCAACCTTTGAACTGTTATTGGGATATTTTGCGGGAGAGAGATGAGATGGCACGATTATATAACTCCGTGTTCTTGAGTTAGGAGCACTTAGATCAGACTCATTCTGAAGCACTTTACCATCATGTGCATTGAGATGATTCTCCAATATTTGTGTATGCTTAGCAGAAAATCCATGAATCCAAAACTGACATTCGTGGAATATGCCACCTGATGGTTGGTTGGGATCTTGAACAAGGTCAAGGGTTTTAGCTTTAAGTGGTGTAACTTCTTTGCTTTTCTCGAGTTGTTTATTCTCTGCCGGTCCAAAGCTATCACTGGTATCCCAAATTCCGCTTCTCGATACCTGGATTGAATTGCCACTACCAACAATATCCCCCCATATACTTTGACTTTGGGTGTTTAATTTCGTACTCGCAGTTCTGCGTAATTTCCTTTTACCCTCTTCTACACCAGACATCGATTGCTCCCTCGCCCTCTTCCTCGATGAATTTATCCTAGGCTTATCTTTGTCCCAAGAACCCTTTCCCCTCTCATCTATTGGTAAAGAAGGATCATAGTATTTCTCGTTCAAAATCATCCCTCTTTCCAAGCTATCTGATAACCACTCGGCAGAGACTATCCGTAAGCCCCAACTCTTCGCCGCCTTATATTTGTTGCCTTCTGTTCGGAACGATATCAAATGTGTGATTTGTTTGGTCAAATTCCCATCATATTCTCCCCCATTTGCTTTGATCTTTTCTGCAATATCCTGCCTCTCTGCTGTGTCATCGCATCCGGTCATACTGATTCTAAGGGAAGTAAAGGTAGGTAATGTATATTGTCGTTCCAATGAATCCATATCTATATCATGATCATTTACCCACAGGTTCCTAACTGTCGCAATCCAGTCCATAGTCATCGGTCGAACATCCGGTCGAAACTGGGCAACATAATGATATTTTGGAGTATCCCAATGCCCAACGATTAGGTGGGTAACTTCGACTGTGAGATCAGCTCGAATACTGGCCCCCATTTGTTCCGCTTGAGTATTTAACTCTGTCTAAAATTGAGACAAATTAGCAATTGAGTTCAAAGTAAGAAATTTGCGCTTGTATGTTGCAAATCATGCAAGTCTTGACCATTCAGTACTCATAAACATTGACATGATAAACAAAACTTACACGCTTTTCATCTGGAACATTGGTACAGCAAAGAATCATGCCTTTTAAAGGTTGAGAAGCATTGTCAACTGTTGAAGCATCAGGATAACCTTCATGAAGTGAGTCCATTTTTCAAAATAATCTCAAATGTTGAATGTATATGAGAATTAAGAAATGTTATTTTCCACTTTGCGCGTCTTCTACCTAGTCGCGTACGTCGCGGTCTCTTTATTTATTTTGCCCTTCGTTACCGCTTACTTGGTCCGGAGACCCTGTACGAAAATAATGATCCTGCCAAACTAAATTTCTCAATTGACATTTCGAAAATTCAATTCAATTCAAAATCTGGGTATAATTTCGGAGACTTGTTTGCTTCACAGTCTTTGTAAATAGCGAGTTAAACGATTGATGTTTGTCTACCATATCTTTGCTTGCTACTGTCATTTTTATCCGCATGAATATGATGTTTATATTCAATATTTACTTCCAATATGTAAGAAAGTTGCTTACATTGGCATGTGGAGAGACTCTCCAAGATTTTCTGTTTCCGTCTACCTCTTCAAATTTCTTAAAGTCTCAAGATCTTGTTGGAGAGGAGATTCATTTTCATTTTTGGACTTCACAAAACTATACATCGTATCTATATTTCATTGTTGAATTATATTACAAGCCAACTCTGAAATATCCTAGCTTGGGACAGAACCAGTCACCTATTTAGACCGCGAAAACCTTCTCGACAACATCTGTCGTCTCTCTTACTTGCGCAAATTCTTCATCCAAACTAGCAAGATTGACTTGGTGTATTGTTTCAGCATCAATTCCTCCTTTTGCAAATGTTGCACACGCATCCCCCACTAGCACAATATCACCTTCATCCACAAGTTTCCCATTCTCCATGATATCGACAATTCTCAAATTGCTCGCCATGCGCGTCGATGTACTGACGCAGTGATCTGTGGTCAAACCGCAGATGACCAATTGTCTCACGCTGTTCTCCTTCAAAAAGTTCTCCAGCCCCGTTCCAATGAATGCCGAGTTGACGTTCTTTGTCCAAGTCCTCTCGTTATAACGAGGAGTTGCAATTTTCTGCGGGTGGACAGCAGGTACTGATTTTCCATCGACTTCTATCTGTTTGATGGGATGCAACATAGAGGTAGGATCAATACTGTGATGGTGCACATGACAAATGAGGACAGACGATGAGGTGCTTGCCTCTATTAATCTTTCATTGTAGTCTCTGGCACTCCTAAGCAGCGTTGCGATATTTTCCTCACACTTCGGCGTGCTTCGAGTTGCGAGATCACCAAATGCTGTTGAATGGAGAAAGCCATTCTGAACATCGATTAGGATAAGTGCTGTTTTGCGAACAGTCGCTGGCTTCATATTGACAATTGTGTCGATGTTTTCGTCTCTGTTTGAATGAATGGTGACGATGATGATGCTGGAATACTAGTGAATAGCTGCTTATCTCTGTTTATATTATATGTATTGACTTCACAGGTCCGACGAAAGGCGTTATATCTTTTGGTCTGCTGACACCAGAATATCAGGTGTTGTGTGCTACTTTGGATGCTATTCATAAGCACCGTTGGGGCTTGGCAAGGCGCGCCCTTCTATTGATCGGTGGGGTTATATTATTTTACATTGTAGCTGAAGTCTGACTACGGAGTAGGAGCAGCGACTTAAATTCTCGAGGCTTCCTCTACTGTTCACATTTCAAGTTCTCAACGCTCTGACTGAAACTCTTGATGTATTATTGTTGTACTTGAAAGTACACCTTCATTCTCGGGTGGGGCTAGACACAGATTCTAGGCGACCACAGTTCATTAGGACTTTGCGAAGTTTAATCAACGGCATAATTGTTAAAAGAAAAGAGATGAACTAATCCAACGCTGGGGTATCATCCTCTTCTGTTACTAATCTCAACGTTCCCATGCATTTTTATGCATTCTTTCTGGAATCCTACTAGTCCCAAGCAATACCGTGTCGCGCGTGAATACTTTAGATCCCACAAAAGAGTTCTACCGCTACTCTAGAAGCTTTTCCATCATCTCCAGGTATCTTTATGTAATCAGGATGAGCTAATTTGGCTGTGGTTATGGGATTTTTGTGCTTGAGCACAAGATCACCGTGTACACTGGCCGCCCCGGTATGACGTGTATGAATCTATTGGTGCATGAATGCAATGGAACCTCATGCAAGATAGATTGTAAGTGACGTTCCCGAACGTCTAAACAGATTGATTCTTCCCCCGGTGAGTATCTTGGTTTCGAAGGTTCTCCTTGATGATATTTCAAAAGTTAGATGGTGATATACTCAGGGAAGAAGGATTGGTATTTATTAAACTTTTTCTTCTGGAACAAATCTAATTACTCCGAATTGAGGATGATGCAAGTGGCTTAAAAGCTCGGACTTCTATGATAGGTATCCCGCATATTGAGGGGCTAGAGGGGATGCTCGGGGTGATAAGACAGCAGTTCTTCCGATCTTTACACATGCTTTAGGATATTCGCCAAATGAGATGTTACAAAGGGTGGTATCCTCTTGGCAGGTACTGATTGCATCTTGACCTGTGCCTGTTTTGAGTGATAGGATGAGGTTATAAATGCTGAAATATGATTATGCTTTCGATATCAATTCCACGCGGTTTTTGTTTGGATGTTGACCTAGAGCCTTAGACTGCTAGGATATACTTGTCACCCTTCGTCATTGTTTCGTATGCCACTAAACGAGCCTTCTGCATCTATATGGAGTAGTTTGAATTGTGGACATAAATTCAAATCTTTTAGCTAGACTGTTGTCGATTGTTGCCAATCATAAGATAGCCTTATGAAAAGAAACCCCTGATTCGGTATCTCAAAGCCAAGAAGAGAACATATCAGGTCAGATTCGTAATCAACTTGGAGATGTGAAAATGGTACGTCGTAAAATCGGCACGTAGTCTGTACAACATTAGGTTTTCTGGGCGGGGTGGCAGAGTACTCTTAGGAACAAGGCTTAGACGTCAGTTGGAAACAAGTCTCGCGAGTCTAGCAATTCGACACGACGATATGTTGTTACTCCAACCAACATCGAACAGTAGTTTCAGCCTTCAAAAAGTTTAAATTTCAAGGGCGAAAGGGATCCCAGACGCAAAGGATATTGGGTTGACACTTTACTTGGTATATCCATAGCGAAATCTAAATACCGAAACTGCATGTGAAGAGATTACAAGGGGGTTCCTATTTTCGGGGTATCTTTTCTGTTAAAGATTTTTTTCTTGGTTCTGTCTGTTTGGTTGTGGATCTGTCATTGACTACTTGCATTTTTGACGGGCACCTGGGCATGAAAACTTGTATTCTAGAATCTTGATATGGAAATTGATTGCTGATTTAAGATTCATCGAAGATGGATTGGCTGAGTGATCAGTGCCCAATTCGTTGATGTAGATATCACAGTTTCATAAAAACCGTACCTGCTAGATGTCTAGTGAGTGACCTAAAATTTAGAACTTCGGTGTGGTGCGGCCAGAGCCCGGTATCTCGGAATGGCACTGTCTGTTCGGATATGGCGGGGACTTTAGTTTCGTATTCTTTTCCAGCTACATTGTACAGTCATCAATAGGATCACGAACGCTGTTGGACAGGAGATCTAGATCCTTGAATGGCCACTTGTACCGTCCAACGAAAAGTCGATTATGTGCAGTATGCGGTAACATGTATGGTAACCACTTTTGAGTATTGCCATCCTATTCCATTATCGTCGTCGTGGTTGGTGTCACGTTTTGTAGATTCTAAATCGAGATCCAATTTATTATAGCGAATATGCACGCTAAGAAAAATCAGAATATGTACAGGAGAGTTAGGTACATCATCGGCTCTTTCTAACTTTTTGCACCTGGGCATTATTATACGCAGAAGTTGCTTTCATAGGTCTCCTCCGCGGCTTCCGGCACGAACAAGCACGATGCGGCGTTTAAAATGTTTGGAATGGGTCCAAAGATTTGAATTGGGACTCCGAAGGACTTCTTACTTCTCATTCATTCACACTCCATTCCACCGGAACAGAGCAAGCAGACGTAGGAAATACCCACCTAGGGATCATAAATAGCCACCATCATCACGACCATTAAGCGTTGAGACTAAATGCTTTCGGATTCGTTAGCCTGCTCATAAAATTCGTTGCATCTCTAGTCTTTCTATCCTTTCAATTCATTGTTCTGCTTCGAAACGACTGTTTCCCATCTGTACTTCCTCTGTCCCATCATCCCGAGAATTATGTCTCGGTATTCGATAACCTGCTGACCTGGTTCCCATCATCCAATCGTCCATTCATCGCGATACATTGTTGTATGTGGGGTTTCCAGGATCCCTAGCTATACAAGCATCAATATCAACCCTGCCAGCAGATCTTTTGCTTGAATCTCGAATACCTGGAAATAAAAGGAAACAAGCATACCGCTTCTTGCGATTTCGTACTACAATAACGCAGTACTTTACTTCGCATTCTCTTCTACATGTGCTGGCAATCAGACATAAACCTTACTCCTTGTTTTGTAAGTTGCCCAAGCATCTGACAACAAACAATTTCATAGTAATCTACCCAACATTGTGAGTCCCAATTCCTCAAACACACCTCCGTGACTTGGTTGTGCGACATTGCATCTTGAATCATGCCCCCGTCCTCTTCATGCCCTACCAGCTTCTCCCTGCCCAAATACATTTCTGCATCACTGCTTTGAGTCTTGGGTCATCTGGTGTCAGTGCGATCTGATATCACAATATTATAATATTGTGCCATTGCCTCGAGGGATTCAACGAGATACTGCATCTCGAATACCACCACAGTTTGCGACTACTCTCGCTTTATTTCTTACCACCCCTCATCGAGAGGACCCATACACTCATTCAGCATATACATTTCCGGACATATTTTTTGAGAGAATTAATCATTAATACGCAAGATGACAGGCCAAATCTCCATTCCATACTTCACTAGTCGAGGAACGGTCTACTACAACCCTCCCAGTTTCCGAGCAGACAAGACACGGAACACAACTCTTCCCATCCCACCTTGCCGACCTAGACAACGTCGACCTCATTCCATACATATAACTCGTCTCCCCGCAGGCTTCGTTCCATTTGATTTGCGACCTCCCTCTTCCCCACCAGAGCCTAAAAAGCCTTCCCGAACCAAATCCCAATTGAACAAGCTGGCTTCCCGAGAGAGCGCAAAGCGTGTGCTAGGTTCTGTTTTCTCTCCCTTTTCATCCCAACCTTCTTCGCCAACAGCCTCTGCCGCATCATCCACGAGAACGCCGAGCCCGCAAGTGAGTCGTTCACAGTCAGTACGAACTAATTCGGGGGATCGCCGAAGCCTATTTTCTAGAAGGGCCCAATCCAGTTCTGGGTTGGAGGCCGGGTCGGAAGGAGGAATGATGACTGGTCCTGGGCCTAATAATATGGAAGCTGTGGGAATCGAGAACCGGCCATTAGGGACCAGCCAACCGGACCTTGATTTGAGCCTTAGAAATTCGAAGCCAACCCCAATAGCGAACATTGGGGAAAATGAAAAACCGGTTGCGTCAGGCAATGGTGTATCTGTTTACGTTCCGTTCGCTGAACCTATTGTCTACCTGACTGGTTTGGATCACGATGGTACAACTCGCAATTCTGAATCCCACAATACCCTTGGGATTCTTCGTGGCAAAGTTCGACTTAATGTTACCAAAAGCGCCAAAATCAAGTCGGTTACATTAACATTTAGAGGAAAAGCGCGAACTGAATGGCCTGAAGGTATGCATGACTCAATTCACTTACTCATTCTGATCAAGGAAGCTTACAACAACATAGGACTGCCACCAAACAGAACAGAAACTTTCCAAGAAGATTCACTTCGGACACAAGTTCTACCATTCTTTAATGCTTTGTATGAAGGTTCTGATGTCGGTTATGGCACGCACTGCAATTACTATTTACGGGATAAATCTGGGACGACATCTGTAACTCCTCTAGATTCACCAAGCTCTGGAATATCGACATTACTCGGTGCCAGAAGTAGAGCAAGTACTCTCATGACATCAAAAGAAACAAAGAGACTGTCACTACAGAACAATCAATCCCGAAGTTTTCAAAAGGGAGACTCTCCCAACGGCCCAACACCTCAACAGAAAGGTTACAAAACCTTCCATCCTGGAGTATACGAATACACTTTTGAATTACCAATTGACAATAACTCTCCCGAAACCACAAAGCTCCCGATGGCTTCTGTGGTATGGCAAGTGGAAACTCTGGTTGAAAGGGCGGGTGCATTTCGTGCCAACCTTTTTGGAGTCAAAGAAGTACCGGTCATCAGAACACCAAATATTGAGTCATTGGAATTGGTCGAACCCATCTCAATAAGCAGAAATTGGGATGACCAGTTACATTATGATATTATGATTTCAGGAAAATCATTCCCAATTGGCTCTAAGATTCCCATAGCTTTCAAATTGACCCCTTTGGCAAAAGTTCAAATTCACAAGATCAGGATTTACGTTACGGAGTCTATTGACTACCACAACAACAGTGGTGATATAACCAGAAAGGATAAGCAACAGAAGAAACTATTACTGTTCGAGAAATTGGCGAACCAGGATCCCTCCAAAGAGTTTAGAAACTCTGAGTTGCGAGTTCTCCGTGGAGGCGAGCTCTCTGCTACAGAAAGAGCCCATGCGCGGGCAACTGCACAGAGGGAGAGGGAGAGAATAGCAAGACAGCTGGGCACCACTCCAGAACCTCTACCTGAAGAGTCCAACAACATACTAGGTGATATCGACCTTGGGCTTGACCACTTTGCTGGCCCAACAGAATTGGAGATGTCAGTTCAATTGCCCACATGCGAGATGATGAAGAAGGATGAATCCAAACGTCTTCATCATGATTGTTCATGGAAGAATGCCAGGGTACATCACTGGTTCAAGGTAAATTGAATTCTCACATTAATTAATCGTCCTTTGGGAGACATTTGCTTACCCTATTCTTAGATTGCCATGCGCATATCCCGCAAAGATCCCGATGACCCTACTGGTAAAAAGCGTCGTCATTTTGAGATATCTATCGATTCCCCCTTTACTATTCTCAGCTGCCATGCGTCCCAAATGCAAATGGCTTTGCCTGCATACTGTGACCTCGGTGGCCCAAGTGTTCGCTCTCAAAATGAGCGTCAATGTGGTTGTCCTAATGCAGCCAGTGTGGAGAATCCTCCAGTAACATCAGCTTCGAGAGCTTCTTCACTTGATAACCTGAGGCAGAGTCTTGGTCAGTCGACGATTGCGCGCCCAGAAACCGCTCAGCTTTTGACTAGACCACCACAAGCGCATCTTGCAATGAATACGGCAGTCCAACGACCCATCCACATGTTGCGTAACCCAAGTTTTGCTGCTCCTGAATATGAGGCCGATGAGCCTCCTCCACCAATGCCAACACCCCCACCCATGTATGATCATGTTGTTGGTACGCCTAGCGTCGACGGGCTTGCTGATTACTTCACAAGATTGGCCGATTATGAGGAGGAAGATCACACAGATGACGAAGACGTGCAGCGAGCCTCAAATCGTGGCCGTGTGAACGTTGTTAATCCTAACACGCCAGGTGGGCGGATCGCTCGAAGCATGGACATTAATCGTGATTTCATGTTTAACGCGGCAGCTCTTAACAACAGAATGAATCGCGGTGAGGCTGCTACAGGCAGAAATGCCTAGACAATGATTATAGTATAAGAACCAGGCTTGGAACTGTATATGATTTTTGGACAGAATGGATGTATATACATACATAGTTGTATGAGATACGGGAAAACATGCTTGCATGGGAATTCTTTTGGCGGGGTGGAAAATTGGGCCATGGTGTTTCCTGGATACCCGGTGGGATTATAATTATAAGGTTGGATATCACCATTCACTGGTTGGTCTTGGGTGGCGGTGCAGAAACGCTCTTTTGGTTACTATCGGCGTACCTGTTTTTATTCTTGTATTTCTCTTTTGGAAAAAGCATTCTTGGCCGGGGCTTTTAGGCGGCATGGTAAACGAATGAACACGATGAAACAACATGAGTACTTATGATTTGGGACGGGGTTTAAACCTTGGGTTATTGGTCTGGTTAATGATTAGACGCATTGAGGAAATTGGGACAAGGTGGTATATATTTCAAGTATAAATACCGATATTCGCTACTATCATCTAGAACAGCATTGACAACATAGTTCGCCATTTTTGTGACACCATGTTTTGTATAGTAATAGGTAATTGAAGCTTGCAAGAAAATCATTATGCTGACTTTTTTCGTTTTGCATCTTGTAAGGTTAACAGTCTCTTTAATAATACGCATTACTCTACTTCAATTACACTATGTTCACGTCTACGCTTGCTACGATAATATGTCTTGCAATATTGTATAATTACTCCTATGGAGTAAAGTGGGGGTTTCAGATACTCTTTCGGCAGGTGGAAGTAAGCTGCTGCCTGGGCGGTTAAACGCCATCTCTCGTCTCTTATTATATCGCCAACTGCGATGGCAGGATACTTTCGAGCTCAAATTTTGTTTTCATACAAACAATACTAGTTCCTAATTTCACCATGTCTTCAAGAAACAAAGATGTCGACACCTTTGACGTAATAATCGTTGGCGGTGGAACAGCAGGTAGCGTCCTGGCAGCACGCCTCTCATCTACCCCCACTCTTCGTATTCTCGTACTCGAAGCAGGCCAAAATCGCAACTCAGACCCCAAAGTCAGTACTCCAGGCCTTGCTGGTTCAATATTTGGAGACCAGAATTATGATTGGGGATTCCGGACTGTGTCAGAGCAGGGGTTGAATGGTAGAGTGATTTTGCAACCACGGGGCAAGTTATGGGGTGGAAGTAGTGCAATCAATTCACATGCATTGGTGTATCCGTCGAGCGCATATCATAATGCATGGGGAAGTTTGGTAGGTGCTGGGAAAGGTTGGGATTGGGAAGGGATTGGGAAGTATTATACGAGGTTTCAAAAATTGCAAGCACCTGGCGAGGAGGTTAAGCGAGAGTTGAAGATTGGGGACTTTGCGATGGAAGGTGGAAATGTCCGTAGGCATAACGAGAGCGAAAATGAGGAGGGAATTCAAGCCTCGTACCCTGTGACGTTACATCCGATGCAGAAAGCTTGGACAGATGCGATCCAAGATCTGGGATATAGCTCGTCGAAGAACCCAGTCGAGGGAGATGTTCTTGGAGGGTCTACGACGACGAATGCTATTGATTCCTGCAAAGGCGAAAGGAGCCATGCTGGGGTCGCATTTCTGGAGCCGTCCACAAAACGAGATAATCTTGTTGTCAGAAGTAATGTACTGGTGAACAAGATTATCTTTGACGAGGAGAAAAGGGACGGTAAGGCTGTTGCAAAAGGTGTTCTTTACAGCCATGAAAATGGGGAAATTGTGATTGCTCATGCGAATCGAGAAGTCGTGGTATGTGCTGGGACATTTGGATCACCAAAGTTACTGGAGCTATCCGGAATTGGACAACGTGAAAGACTTGCTACTGCGGGTATCGAATGTCTTCGTGAACTTGCGGGTGTCGGCGGTAAGAATAGCTGCTAGGCAAATTGATTCATATGATGCTTACTTCCGAATAGAAAACCTCCAAGACCATCTGAACTTTGGGCCTTCCGTTGAAGTGCTAGATAATATCGAAACAGCAGATGTCTCTGCCCATGATCCCACAATAATGGAAGCCGCCAAAAAACTGTACGAAGCTAAGCACATAGGTCGGCTAGCAGAAGGTGCCGCGTATAGTTTCTCTTATCTGCCACTAAAAGCCTTCAACTCAGAAGAAGAAGAACGCGAATTGACAACTCTCGTTAACAAGATCCTCCTGGATACCTCATCAACAGTCAGCAAAGGACTAAAAGCCCAGTACGATATCATCAAGCGCATTATATTCGACCCAGAAGAAGCATCCTCAACAGTCTTCATGACGCGGAAACAACGATACACCACGAGTACTGCACCTGCACCAGGGAACTATATGACCATATTAGCTATGCTTTCCCACCCCTTCTCTCGTGGAAGCTCTCATATAACAACTGCCGACCCTGGCGAGTATCCTGAAATCAAAATCAACTACCTCGAACATCCCCTAGACACGGAAATTCTATCTCGCCACATAATCCAAATCGGCCAAATGCTGGAACAGCCTAAGCTATCTGCGCTTCTCAAGCCAGGTGGCAACACTTTGCCGAGTGGATTTCCTCGTCATGCCAAGAGCGTAGAGGAAGTGACAAGCTTCATTCGCCAATACGGAGCCACAAATTACCATCCTGTAGGAACATGTGCTATGATGGATGAGGATTTGGATGGGGTTGTTGACGAGAACTTGGTTGTGTATGGAACGGCGAATGTGAGAGTTTGTGATGCGAGTGTTATCCCAATTGAACCTCGTGGAAATGTCTTGAGTACTGTTTATGCGGTAGCAGAGAAGGGGGCGGATATTTTGAAGAGAGATCTGGGGGTTTGATAATGCAGATATTAAAATTGAATAGAGCAAGATTATAATACACGCACTTATGATTTATGTCAATGAAAATTCAATGGAGACTATTATAATCGTCTTATCGCCGGCAAGTACGCTTCAGAAATCTTAGCGGCAAAATTAGAGAAAGTGTTGGTCTGTATCACGCCGGCGTGTAGTAGTGTACGCTCAAATATCTACCAGATCGAGAAGAATTTCTTAGCACTAAAATAGAAAAAACACATTCGGAAATCATAAAACCTTTGCATATTGCAATCTTATATTGTCTCAGGACATTCTCATTACTTGACATACTTCTTCACAATAGCTTCCAAGTCAGCATCGGTCTTCTCCTTCAGACCCAACAATTCATTATCTGACTTCTCCCATCTCGTTGGATATCCCTCTCCAAAAAGCGAGACAAGAATGTATCCGACCATAACCTCCATGGTAATTTCCCCCTTTGCAAGCTTCTCATTTGAAGACTTGAGAATATCAGCCGTCTTCACCGGAACGGCGTCCCATTTCTTCTCTGGGGCAACCTTCTTTGCAATCGACAGAAGACGATTCTGAGATGTTTGCAAATCTTCAATGTACACAGCTCGGTTTTTCGTCTCTTCAAGTTTGGAGAGAACAGCTACGACGGCTTGAGCTACGGTCTCGAGAGTGGTGGTACTAAATAGTCCATCACCCCCATCGTAAATAGATGGTTTTCCGGATGTCACATCGAGGATGAAGTTGTGCTCGAGTCCCCAATCGAGGAATGCGCCGTTGCGAATATATGTATATGTAAAACTTGGATTCTTGGCGGCAAGGGCTTCAATATGGGAACAGACCTCTACTTTGTGTCCGAAGACAGGAAGGGCTTTAGTTTTGGGGTGGGAAAGGTCGGAGCCGAATTCCGAGGGAATGAAACGAGTTACGCCTGCTGCAACGGCGGCGTCAATTAGGAGTTTTTGACCGAGAAACCCTTCGGTTCCGACGGTGGAGACTACGGCGTCGATTTTTTGTGATTGGAGGGCGGCTGTGAGAGAGGGGATGGAGTCGAAGTCTACGGGGAGGACAGACACACTTGAGGGGTAGGTGCGGGTTGATGTGGAGCGAGTGAGGACTGTGATGTTGAATTTGTTGGACTGGACGAGGGCTTCGAAAATGGGCTTGCCAAGGGCACCAGCTGCCTGTATTTGAGTTACATCGTGCTATGAGGGGTTTGGAGAAGAATGGTTTACTTACACCGGAGATAGCTACGTTCTTGATGACACTCATGATGAAGATGGTTTTGGTATTTAAAATGGTTGATTTTTGAAAATTTTGAAAATTTTGAATGATTGAGGACTTTTATGGAATGAGTAGATAGATATTTGAATGATGAGTTTTCTCTTCAAGTACTTCGTTGTTTATATAGAAGTTGATTCACGGCATTCCACTCACATCTTCAAGGGGATAGAAACAAGCGATGCGGGGGGAGCCGAAGTGTAAAGCCTCCCCCACGGTCGCTTGATCATCAAGGCCTAAAAAAGGACCTAAGACAAAGTTAAATCTATTCCATTGCGTTTACTTTTTGAGGTTTGTTCATCGGATTATCCCTCTTTTTTTGAGCGCATAAATCATTTCATTGACATACAGTGTTCCACTTTAAATTGACGTTTAGATGGTCGTCCAGGTTTGAAAATCAACCCCCAAAATGTCATTCCTCTAGATGCTGGAAAAGTTGACTGGTACCAAATCCTGGATATAGAAAGATTATTTTCTGATTATACGATTTCCCTATGATTAGAAATTGAGCTAGTTATTTGGGGTTTCAAACCACCATCCTAAATATTCATTGAGGGCTCACTGGGAGTGACAAGTATCTAGAGAGCTAATAAAGCTGGGTCGCTCATCGAGGTTCAACAATCAGTTTAACCTTGCTTGTAAATTTCACAGCCTCAAGTAACTAATGATCTCATTTCTGCATTCATTTAATAGTTATGATGAAAGATACACCCGGATTTCACTTCTTGCGCAGATATGCTTAGTGATAGCATGAAGGTCCCGGAGGGGCCTTGGGATTTAGAGTTTTGGCTTCTTCGGAGGATCTGTAATCTTCGGCCGCCCTCCTCTTACATCTTTGGAAAAAGAAAGATATCACAACACAAAACGAAACAATGGAAATTAAACTTTGGACAATTTTAGCTTCTCCAACTTTCGATTACGTCTTCCCTTTCCCTGGTAGCAAAAGCTCGAAACTCAGATATCACGTGGCAGTTCATAATCTCGGCCGCCCACCTCACGGACCTATCAACACACACACTGGATGACAAACCTTTAACATAGACTACCTACCTACCTACAACAGTTTTTTTCAACTGTTAAATACAAATCGAGATATGCATGACGTGATATCATAGTTGAGTTTTTGTCAGCCATTTATTTTGTCATTCGCGTCAATGGATAGCCAAGAAAAACCACCTAGATGGTCGTGCCAGTCCCAAGGTTGTACCAAATCGTTTCAGCGGAAGGAGCATTTGACTCGGCATCAAAAATCACATTCAAATTCGTCTCCAGCACATATTTGTAGAATATGCCACAAAGAGTTTTCTCGTAGCGATGGTCTCCAGAGACATCTTGGACGTCACGGACAACAATTCAAAAGGCCTACTGGTCGAAGCAGGAGGGCATGCGCGGCTTGTCATTCCAGTAAAATCAAATGCGATGGAAATGATCCATGTTCCAGGTGTAGAAAAAAGGAAATTTCCTGCAAATATGGATTGCGACAAGAATTGCCTCCCATAGCCAGCATACAAGATGAAGCCTCTAAAGATGGTTTGAGCGATTGGGAGGGATCGGAACTCTCAATGTCCGAAAATGTACAAGGGGATCAGATGTCCGTTGAAAGCCCACAGTCTGATCAGACACCGAATCCTGATGAAACCTTTATTACAAATCAAATATCCAGCGTGGCTCAAGCATTCAACTCTGGTCAATCGTCCCACTTGAATCACGCATTCAACTGTATTCCAACACGCAGCCCTTTGCAAGAGGCACATGATTCGTCGGTAAGCAGGAACGTTCTCAATAATTCTGTCATTGCTGAAGATTCGCTCTCACTGAATTTGAGGCGCACGCCTCACGGGCTTCTCGATTGGTCAAATGTCAGGATCCAACAAGATGCTCCTCAAACCCGAGAAGCACCCCAAAATACCCCTGTTTCCATATCTAAACTTGAATACCTATGTTCACTTGCCGAAGAAACTGTCGAGAGATATCGTCATCTATACCTTGCTGATTTCCACGATCGGTGGCCTATAATACATTCCCCAACTTACGAAGATGATGAAGAGACACCTAAGCTTCTACTTCCATCTATATTGATGATTGGAGGTTGGATTGACGGCACCCCAAGCTCGAGAGATTGGGCTTTGAAAGTTCACCATAATTTGGTAGAGCATGTTATCCCACGTCTGTGCCAGTTGAAGGATATAGATACAATGACACAGCCTCTGCCGATTGTTCTATATCAGTGCACGTTGTTGAATATTGTTTTTGCATCATACTGTGGGAAACGTGAGGTTTTGAAAAAAGGACTGATCTTACGCAACTTGTTAGTTGCTTCTATATACGAAACTGGAATCTTAACACCTGGGACTATTTATCCAGACGATAAGCCCGGGTATTTTCTACCACTACGTTCGGTTAGAGACCAACAGAGAAAGAGGATAGCAGTCGATCTCTTCAAGATTGACACATATTTCAGTGCCATAACCGTGCAGCCAGTTTTACTCAAGCCAGAAGAACTACACTTTAGTATTCCAGACACCATCGCGCTTTGGAATGCCGGAGGGCTTCCTAATTGGGAGGCTCGCCAACCGAATGAACCGAAATCTAGAAGCTCTCGTTCAATCAATGTGATGTTTGAAGAAGTCGCTCTGGGAGTAGTTGAGTTTTCAGAAAATGAGTCCATGTTAGAAGATATCCAGATTTGTCTTTGGGCTATGCAGTCAGAAATCTTGCAGCTTTCCAAGCAGAGTCGGCCTGAGAGACGGAATGAACTAAGTCTGAATATTCAAAGACAATCACTTAAACGCCAACTGAAAGCTCTAAAACGTGGGTTCTCAAATCTTTCCGCGAAAGTATCGTGCCCCGGTGCATTTGACCAGACAGAACTGTCTCCAGTGCATTACTATTATGGACTCGAAGACCATGATAAGCCTGGATGGCAAGATATAGTTTGCCGACGCATTCATAGCTTTATGTTTGACACTTCTGTCCTTCATCACCTGGTGAGTTTACAACTATTTACCGAGACTCAGACTATCAGGATGCTCGCCAAAGATCTAGCACTTTCTGATAAAGCCCGAGGAGTCTTCGGAGATGTATATTCTCAACCCCATACCAGACGTGTTGCAGCAGCACGTGCATGGACACAAGAGCCTAACTCTCGGCATGCCTTATGGCATGCCACTGAAATTCTCCTGAGCCACAATGCACTCAACCGAACCCCCTCTCTCGCCAACTTCATCCCCGACCCAATTTCCTACATAGCTTTAGCATCTGCAGCATTAGTCATTTGGACCCATTGCATGTACGGACAAGAAGCATGCAACGCGTTATCATGCACATCGATGCTCCCTCACGAAGTGAGTATGTCTATCGAGTTGACAAAATTAAGCGAAGTGATAAATGGCTTCTCGTATGACGAAAAGGGAAAGGAGGTTTGGATTGAAGGAGGTGCTTATTTTAGAGCTTCAATTGAGGATATTCAATTGTGTAGCTGTAATGTTGGGTTATTAATGGGCAAGTTCAGGGCTCATATACCGCGACATTGGGAGATTGTTGATGAGATCGCACCAAACATCTTCACGCAGCTTGATGGCCCAGAAGCTACTGGAGTCACTTCATGAAGCTTTACGCATTCAGAATCGCAAGGCCATTAATTCGTTCCGTACAAAATGCTTTCAACATATAATGTCTTATCCACGGTCGGCTCTCCCAAAAACCTGAAATTGAACATCACAAGCGACTTTTGATATCCCAAACAATTTCGATTTCTGAGATATATTCAAATTGTCAATTAGATTATCATTAGACTAGGCCAATCTCAGACTTGGATCTGGATGTACAGCATTGTGTCACCGAAAATTGTACACATGTAATATTCGTAAATATATTGCGATCCAGGTTTTGTATCGCAACATGTATATTGCTCAGCTCGAGGGGTTAGGACATCCTAATATCTCTCAATGGTAGATATGCCTTGGATACAATTCGAATTGAAACGGATATCTACGACGAGAAAATATACCAAGTGAAACAATTTAACCTTCAGACCATGAGCTTCCCGAAACAGCTATCAGTGCGTTTTACGATATATATATATATATGTATCCGAAAGAGGCAGGTTGCGCTACGGACAAGGGTGCTTGTGCTTTTGTAGGAAACGTAACACGTGCGAACCTGCATATAAATTTCGACCCAAAATCTCACTCGCCCACCTTTTTATGTTTGAATACCCACAAAGTCAAACTGATATTCTGGTTCAATCCGGTTGGTCAGGCATCAGTTTTGTATGGATGCAAAGTCTTGTCATAAGATTTGTACGTGAGCATGCTCCACTGTCAAACCGTTGGAGCCTTGGTGCCATGGATTAACAGCAAATCAAAGGATCTTACCAAAAACCCCTGCGATAAGCTTGTAGCACCGAAGTCAATCGAAGAAAGAGAAAAATATGAATATATGAAGACCTTCCTTGGGACAATTTTTTTTACTTCTTAACTGTTTCGGCCAGTCATCATAGGAGTTAAATATGTCACAAGACGGTAAAGTTGATCTTGTAGTAGTCGGAGCAGGTAAGTTAACCTTCAGAAAGAGATAAGAGATATCAATGTGCTGACTTTCAATGCGACAGGTTGGTTTGGTCTCGCTGGTGCAAAAACCTATCTCCAAGTCCATCCTAACGCAAATGTCGTTGTTTTGGCTGATAATGCAACGATTGGAGGTGTATGGGCCAATGATAGATTATATCCTGGGCTGAAAACGAACAATATGTTAGGAGCGCTAGAGTATAGCGAGTTTCCTATGACTACAGAGAGATATGGTGTTAAACCTGGAGAATATATTCCCGGGTCAGTAGTCCACCAATATCTCGAAGACTTTGCGAAGGAATACAATGTCTATGATAAGATTAGATTCGAGAGTAAAGCAATCTCAGCCGAGCATCAAGATGAAGGTGGCTGGATTGTCACGATTGGTTCAAGTAGTTTTCCGGCTACTTTCGAGGAGTATAAAATATCCACATCGAAACTTATCGTCGCGACAGGACTGACTTCACTGCCATTCGTTCCTCCACTTCCTGGAATTGAGGGCTTCACACCACCTGTATTTCATACGAAAGAATTTCCGAATCACTTGGATACCTTGGAGACAGCGAGAAGCGTGTGTGTCTTTGGAGCCGCAAAATCCTCTTTTGATATGGCATATGCATATGCGTCGAAGGGAGTTCACGTAGACTGGATTATCAGAGAGTCAGGGCATGGCCCAGGATGGATGGCTCAGTCGTACGCCACGCCCCTCAAGATCTGGATCGAAAAGATGGTTAATACGAGAGTTTTGACTTGGTTTAGTCCTTGTATATATGGCGACTATGATGGATATGGAACGGTTCGTTCCTGGTTGCACGGCACGGCGGCTGGTCGCTGGTTTGTCGATAAGTATTGGGCAAATTCAGAAAACGAGATTAAAACGGTAAATGGATATGACAAGCACCCAGAGACCGCAAAGCTTGAGCCTTGGTCGAATTCATTCTACGTTGGAACGATGCTTTCTATTCTGAATCATGATACGGATATTTTCGAACTTGTTCGCAAAGGTGCAATCTCTGTGCACATTGGAGATATTGTAAACCTAAGTGCGAACACAGTGAGCCTTTCAAACGGCGAAAAATTACAGACTGACACTTTCGCCTGTGCTACCGGATGGAAACATGTTCCGCCACTAGAATTTCTCCCTAGAGGAATAGACTTAGGACTTCCGCACGCCCTAGGATCCGAGGAACCAACTGATTTGATAGAAAGAGCCGATAAGGAAATTCTTTCCAAGTTTCCCAAATTGAAGGATGAACCACTTGCAGTTAAAAGGGTAAAGCCAATGGAAGGAGCACCTGAAGGAAGGCTTGAGCCTTATAGACTTTTTCGGTTCATGGTCCCTCCTAAATTCGTCGAGTCTAGGGATATCATTTTTCTGGGTTGTATGACATCAGTTTCTACAGCATTCCTGGCTCAATTTCAAGCACTTTGGGCTACTGCGTTTTTCAACAAAAAAGTCTCCATTCCTTCCGACATGGAATATCAAACCGTTTTACACAGTAGATTTGGAAAGTGGAGATATCCTTCAGGCTTTGGTGCTAGACATCCCGATACCGTTTTTGATGGGTTACCATATTATGACATGTTGCTCAAGGACATGGGATTGAGAAATCATAGAAAGTCAAGTTGGTTTTGGGAAATCTTTGAGCCATACAGCGCGAAGGATTATATTGGTGTGGTTGATGAACTGAAGCAGAAAATTAGAGTGGAGAAAGTAAATGGAAACTAGAGCTAGACGAGAATTTACCAAAACCTTACGAGTCTACCAATGAATGAGAGTTGGCTTACAAACGGTGCGGGGTATACGATTAATGAGCCACAATACTATCAGGCTGCCATCTTTGTTAGACTCACCTCACTACAAACAGAAGCTGAAAATGCGTGCGTCAGCATATTATATATCCATCATTTCAATTTCCCTTGTTTCTCAAGATTAATCTTACATCATTTTATCTATATTTATTCGCATACCCAGTAGTCATATTTCCAACATCAACTTTGAATTTCATCACCTAGCACTCCTCCTTTATCAAAAAACTATCTCAACACCCACCACAATCAGAATGGTCTTCATCCCTGGCGATAACAAGGTTCAAATCCCCGAACTAGCCGATACAGAGAGCCCGCCCGCCTACACCCCCTACGATACCCCCGCGCCGTCCACAATTTCAGGCTCCAGCTACCCACCAGATTTCTCCTCCCTCCCTCCCACTCCCTCCTCCTCTAGTCCCTCAACATCCACACCCAACATCCCCGTTTCCAACGCCGTATCCTCATCTCGCTCAGTATCCCTATCTGGCCCCCTTAAAATCCTCGAGTCGGTATCTGGTTCCTCATCCGTGACGTTATATCACCACGTGACGGTTTGCGGCCCCATAAAAGCGAGTGCTAAAATTGTTCTTTACGATCATGTCACTGTATCCGACGATGTGAGATCGAGTTCATCTATTTCGTTAGATGGAGGAGCAGGGAAAGGGGGAGTTGTGATTATGGGCACTGTGAAGAGTAGTTCGAGCATAGAGATGAGAGGAAATGTGTATGTGCAGGGAGATGTGAAGAGTAGCTCTAAGGTGTTACTAGAGGGAATAGGAGGATTGGTGAGGGTTGGAGGGAAGGTGGATACGAGTGGACAGGTTACTATCAGGGGAGGAGTAGAGGTGGGAAATGTGGAGAGTAGTGGCAAGATCATTGTCGAGTCGTTAGAGAAGCAGAGGATTGTTTTGGGAGATTTACAATCGAGAGGTGGAATGGAGATTGAGGGGGATGTGGAAATTCGGTGAGTCATTTGCCTGAGTATATCACAACGCATAGACTGACTTTGATTCTAGCAACGAGCTGAAAGCTAGCGGTAATGTGAAGATTAACGGAAAGCTGCATGTGCACGGAAATTTTACGGTCCATGGTAATGTCAAAGTTCAGGCTGGTTCGGAACTCATTGTGAATGGCAGAAGAACTATACATGGGAAGATGGAGAATGCTTAAAGTCGAAGTACTGTTTCTACAACTTAATGCCAAGCTTTTGCCAACAGGTCTTCTAAGAGGCAAAGAAATGCGCCTCCTGAGTCTAGCGTCCAGTAATGCAAGCGAATTCCTCTAGTGGTTAGGACTTAACAAAGCCTAGCAAATCAATCACTTTTCTAGCCTAGGTGTAAAATCATAGTTATAGAAGTCATTATTTCCCGCAAAAATCTATTGTACATAGAAATCCCCGCATGTGGTATCTAATTTAAGCGCCTTGTTAAATTCCAACCCAGATATTTCGTGTTTACTACCAAAACTCCTAGCATATCGCATATCAGCGAAAATAGCGTTAAATTCTATTCCTAAGCCCGGGTCTCGTTGGTCCCATTCTTGTGGGTTAAATCAGAAATCCAGCCTTTGAAGTCATCTAGTTCTCCCTTGAACCATGCCCACCAATTTTTCTCATCATCTGTCTTACTACTCTCGTCTTCTACTACCGGTCTATCCACATTTGGATCTTCCAAGTCTTCTGGTGTATCTACACCCACCATTTGTGGAGGGACTACATTGAGATCTGCCGCAGAGCTAGCTTCAATTGGCGATATAGATAGAGTTGCGTTTGTTTGAGGCTCTATCTTTGAAGGGCTTGGCTCAGGATCAGCAGGTTCGGGGGGAGATGTATCAGCCGAGTGGATCCCAATAGGCTTGAGTGGAAGACGCAACGTGCCGTTATTGGGGTTAGGGGTAAGCCCCAGAGAGTCACAAATTATATTATACACTTCGATATTTTCTAAGCCATGTTAGTCTAAATCTAGCTGGGAAAGAATGCTGTGAACTCACGAAAAGGCTCAACGCGACTATTGGGCTCGTGCGGAAAAGCAGGACCTCTAGCAATGAAAATAGCTCTCATGAGCGGATGCTCGTGATCGTATCCATGCAGTCCTCGAGGGTGATAGGCAATTCCTTTTGCTTTTCCTTCAACTACATCAAATTCGTCCTTCATGACAATCGCCCAACCAGTCTTTGGAACAATCCATAGAGGTGCAATTCGCTCATTTTTGGAGAAATGATAACGTTCGGGCATATTAACATCTCGTAGATAAATCTCGAAGTTGGGATTGATAGCGGCTTCTGCAGCCAAAGTATTGTAAAGGCCTTGAAGGTGCGAGAGATCTTTTGGCCGAAGTCCATATAGAGGCCAGCCATCAGTGTGTTCGATTAGACTGGTATCAATGATATCTTCCAGTTGAATAAGACGATTTGTGTCTGTAGTAGCCATTCCATGATCTGAAACAATGACAACGTTAACAATATTTGTTAAATTTCTCGCTTCAAGTCCTTGAAACAATTGATCAAGCATAGTGTCAACTTCTGTTATAGTAACCCTGATTTCAGTGCTATTTGGCCCGTAAAGGTGACCATGCTGATCAACATTAGGGACGTATGCTGCAATTAGTTGAGGTCTCATATCGGCCAAAGCTGCTTGACTATCTTCTCGGCCAGGCTTATCCAAAAGCTCAAGTACTCGGCTGACTTTGTTGGGAAGCAGCTCTTGTCCGTTGTATTTATCCAAGTATGCAGGCTCCACATCCATGATATTTGCTTCGCTTCCTGGCCACATGTGAATGGCAGTTCTGATTCCTTGGTTTTCAGCAGTGACCCATAGAGGCTCGCCACCCCACCATTTCTTGTGCATCGCTTCAGATTTGGTATAGTAGAATTCTTCTTGTAATTTCTCGTCCCAAAATGTATTTCCCACAACGCCGTGTGATTCTGGGTAGAGACCAGTAACCAATGTATAATGGTTTGGAAAGGTGACAGAAGGGAAGCTGGGATTCATATAGACAGGCGAAATTCCCTCTTCGACGAAAGTATTTAATCTAGGTGTGATACCCCGTTTCAAGAAGTCGGCTCGAAATCCGTCCAAGCTTATCAAGATAGTCGTTGGCGCGAATAAAGCTGTGCCATTGCTTAGAAAAGTTTGATGTTCTTTCGTGAAACGTGCTTTCTTCGACAGCTTCCATGCTAATAACAATAGAGCCGTAAACCCCAATGCTATCAGAAGATACATAGCACACCAAGCCCATCTCAAATTTTTTCGTTGCGTCGCCTGGTCCCGGACATTTAGCAAGCCGCGTCTGTCGGCATCGTCGCTCTCGTCAGTTTCGCTGCTTGACCCTGTCGCACTGCCTTCTTTCATGCGCCCTCCTTCCATCTCGAACATCAACTCTCCGTCTTCACCATAACTTGCATCTTCCATCAATTTCTCCCGCTTCTTCTGCCGTCTATTTCTCCTTTGGCGTCGTTTTTCTTCCACCTCGGTTTCATCGTCTTGATTTGATGAATCTTCATTGCCAGCTCCAGGTAAGAGAACATGGCTTTTACTCCATAAACCTCTAAGTCCCGAGCTTATTCCTTCCAATGCGCTTCCTCTTCTCCCGCGCTTCAAATTTCTTTCTAAAAGCTCGTCCCTTTCTTCTTCCTCTTCTAGTACACCTCGATCGTATTTCCTAATATCTGCGGACGTACGCGCCCCCTGAATTATCTTATCATCATCACTGTCTTCGTCTTGATCACTGTGCTCTGAATGTATAGACGGAGCATCCTCGTCGTAATTCGAAGGAGATAATAGGGAAGCGTTTCCAGCGGCAGATTTCCGAGTGTTGGATGACATCGTGCCTAGAATTTGCTACTCATATAGAACTATGATTGTATGTCTTTCATTTCATAATTCGTTGAGACACACACCGCAAAAGGCTATAGAGGGCGGAAACAGTTCAATGTTTTTTAGGGGTTTGAGAGCTTCGAATTGACAAGGAGAGCCTGGCGATAGCCATTGTTCAACTGAAGCCTGAGGATTAAGGCACAACGGTGACATCTTCTCTCTCGGTTTTCTGTCTTGTACTGCCTTGAGTTACCTTGGTTATTACGTGAAAGCTTCATACCCCAACGCTTATGGGAATGAGTGATTGAGATGATTTCAGTCAACTGTGGAGTGTGGGATGTGGGGGAGATAGTGTGAATATCCTAGTGCTTGGAAACGATGAGGGAGGGGCAGGTGGAAGAAGTAGTATATCCTCCAAGTCTGGTGAAACTGCAAAATATCTATCATCGGATTCCTCAAATATTGAGATCTACGATATACGCTCTAAGTGGGGGTTTTCACACACGATACGCTCTACTCAGATTGCTCAACATTATCTTCATTCTCGTCATTTCCTCTTCGTATTCCCATCCTTTTCATGTTGTCCTATCATTTTTGAGTTATTTCCTTGTTTCTTCTGAGACCAAGTGGTCAAATTTATACTTTCTATTGACAAAAGCGTGATGACGAGCTGTGTCATTTCTGCGCGAATCCATAGGCAAATTGAGGGGGTTCAACCATGATGAGGGATTTTATATCCAACTTGCATAGCAAAAATCGCGCAAGATTTGCTTACGGATCGCCGCTGTAGGTGACTGTCGTTTCTTTCACAGTGGGAGAAAGAGAGTATATCTTCCTTCTCAATCCATACTTTTCATCTGAATGCACAAGTTGTTCAAATCTCCATTAGAAAGTTCTCCCTCGATAAGATTTTCTCACACTTTACATCTTCAAACCCAGCCTACATACAGAGAGCAACTGTCATGGAGCCAGTCTCCTGTATGGTATTCGGAATTGGTGTATACGTTACTATGATTGTTTTGCAACTAATGCAAGAGAGAAATAATTAATTATTGGTTAAGATATCAATGTACATTCACCGTTCCTGCTGTCTCAACGAATCTCAATATTGATATGCTTGCAGACCCAGGAGCTTTCACTGAGTTACTGCCGAAGTCCCAAGAGCCCGATTCCCTCCTAGCTCGGCTTTCTTTTCGAAGGGACTTGGCTTCGTCTTTCCATCATCTGAACTATCTTCAACGCCTTCCATAATTTCTTCCGGGTCTCTACCCATCATATGATGCTAGGATTACCAGTGTTAGCCTTCGTGGCTGGAATGTTAGTGTGGGATGTATGTAACTCACCTCGACATTGATCACAGGTCCTTTGAACCATTTATGTGCTGACACGAACCACCAGATCGTTACTATACTCATCGCTGAATCGATCATTAGCCGCCGAAGATGGATTTAGAAGAATATTAAAACCCAAGAGTACTTACGTCCGAAATAAACAACCACGGTCCAGTTCATCAAAGAGGCAGTGAGATCGTTGCCTTTATACGCTGGAAAGCAGAGGATTGGCATCATAACAAGGATAAAAGAAGAGGCGGCCATTCCAATCGGCTTGCTGAATTTGCCAAGATGCCATGGCCCGCGTCGAAATCTATCGCCAACGAAGAATACGCGAATAAAGATAGGGATGGTGAAGGCAACATAGGCTGCGATGGCACCAACGGAGAATATGGCGCCAATGGCTACGCTTCCGCCAAATATCAACAACAGAAGAAGGCAACCTATGACAGTATTGAACCACACGGCATTGACTGGAGTGTAAGTAGACTTATTAATTCTCTTGATCCACCAAGAACATGGAAAACAATCGTCTCGAGCATAGGCGAAAGTCACTCGAGAAGCGGCCACCATACATCCTTGGCCCATAAAAAATCCGCACATAATAGTGAGGGCAAGGATAGCGAGCGCGATCTTCTGTGGCATCACTTGAACGAGATACGATGCCCATGGTTGTCCAAGCGGGGAATCAATGACCTCGGTGATATCGATGACAGTGTAAGCAACAACAAGTTGCAAAGCCCATCCCATAAGACCTCCAATTCCACTGGTCAGAACGATGGCGCGTGGGGCTGCGATACTGGCATTACTGCACTCCTCCGAGAGATGGAACGGGGCATCATATCCGGACATTGTCCAAATAATGGCGATAAACGACATGAGGACTGCGACTCCATCTGGCCAATCGGTACCATTCTGGATAGACCAGACCTCCTTTGAAGGAAAGAATTTTGGCGTTGTAGCGGTTCCGGTGACCGACGTTGGAATCATGATTATTACTACCAACAAAGCTATCATGTTCAACGTCGATCCAAAGGAATTGAACTTCGCAATCCATAATGTTGGCATACTCGATATAACTCCATGGATGATCATGATCAAGACAGTCAATAAGAAGGTCTGGTAATTTGTTGGCTCGTACTCGGGGTGAGTGATTGATGCGGCAGCTAGAATCATGGCAGCGAGCGCATAGTCCACACTGGGTGCTCCTGTGATCTGGACCATCCAATTTGACCATCCAGTTATCCAAGCTGCAAATGCACCCCATCCTGGAGGAGCGAGTACTGCTGCAGCATAATATAGTCCACCACTTGAAAATATTCAGCGCTTGCATTTTTGAACAATATCGAAGAGCACTCACCTAGTTGGCATACTCGAACACAACTCTGCCATTCCCATAGCGACACATTGGATGAAGAACCAACTTACCAACCACCCCCAAACCATTCCTCCAGTACCTGCATAGCCCATACCATAATATAAGGTACTCGCGAAACTGGGCAATAATCCAAGCACAGCAAAAGAAACACAAAAAGTTGTCCATAACGAGAATTCTCGCTTGAACTCTTGTTTATAACCCAGAGCCGTCAATGCAGCTTCATCCGCACTCAGGCCTTCAAGATTTGGGTTATCTCCAGCCGGCAACGCCGTCGTGACAGAAGGACGATGTATCAAGTCATTGTGAGCCGATGCATTGCTCTTCGACTGTGTCAAAGTAGCCATCTTCAATATGAGGATGATTGTTGTAGATTTGAGGAAGATATCACGGACGTGGCATATCTATGCAGTACACGGAGGTTTATCAATTGCCCGTAAGGCATGACAGAATTCCATTTGAAGCACGCTTGCTCACAGGGCGGAAGGGGTCGCACAACAGCTATCAGATCTTATACTTCATCAGGAAGGTTTAGCCTGAACCCCTGCTATCAAGAGGTGGCTTCGGGAATCGGGTGAACTTCTCTTGGTGGCTTCGTTTTCAATTTCTTTATCTTGATATAACTTTCATTTTATCGTTCTTATGGTTTCCCTCTACTGTGGTAGTTAGTTTTTTCGTCATTCTCATGTATGTATACATAAGTACATCGTTGGGTTTTCTCAGGACCTTCTTGAATTTATCTGAAATTATCATCAACAAAGAACAACGAAACACAAGTCATGAAGAAACATCATGTATTGTGACAACACCAGGCCAATGGTGAAACTGCCCGCGTCTACTAGATATGAAGATACACCAGAAATTGCTTATCTTTTATCTTGCACCAATTACTATTCCTTGTCATCCTTATCGCGCACCATGAGGTATGCAGCATCGATGTTTAGTTCCGGTAAGATGCTTGGAAGAGCTCTTATCCTATCTTTAATACGGAATCAAACATGAATATCTCTTCCCGTGCGTTTTTATATATCCTTGCCAAGATTTGATGACACTAACTCATTACAAGTTATTATATCAGTTCTAACCATACTGATTCTACATCACCTGTTGGAGAACCTCCATATCTGTTATACAGACTCGCGACCTCGAGAAAAAGCCGGATACTAAACCCGCAAAAATAAAATAGGATTTAAACATAATCTTTTTCAAAATTCGATATAAACTCGTTTTTATATTACAATATTTTCAAAATTGAACTTATAAAATTCTTCATTAATAAATTATTGATCTTCAAATTTCGATCAAAGAATTCAGTGTTCTTGTTTTGATATTAAATTTTGATTAAAGTGTAGAATTTTGGTATCCGGCTTTTTCTCGAGGTCGCGAGACAGAGTATATAAATAAACTTCGCTCCCGAGCCAGGCCCAGTTTCAATATCATGGCCAATGCTAACTCCACTTCCCACGAAAATGTGGGGAAAGATAACCATCCTCACGTTACGTAACCCTTGCCTATCAAACATCGATATCGAGCCGTTAAATTGGCCAACGTTTATCCTCCTCGAGCCCTCGTCTCTTCAGATACACTTATGCCAAAATGAAACAGGAGGTCAGCTTTGGACCCTGCAAATGAAGATGACAAAAGCGTAATCTGTGGAGATCCTTTGGTATTCATAACGGTCTGGCCGATATTAACCCCTGCATTCTTTCTAACTGATATCGATACTTTAATGATTTGATAACATACAACATGAGACGGCTAGTTGAGTAAGAATATAAAGAAAGGGGTGAGGACGGTGTCGCGAACATATATTCTAGTTGTATCTGATATGTAACAAATATATCTATTCCGTCTCTAACAAGAAACCCACCTGCTAAAAGTTCAAGACCACGCTCACTCCCAGTACTCTAATTTGCAACCACATATCTCCCTTCTTTCCTAAAATAACTACGAAATGTTGGAACACCTTCATGCTCTCCCGTCAACCCCAACCCCTTCCCATCATTTTATTGACTGTCGTGAAGCAACAAATTCTACCTCTTCTACTTTACCCCAAGTGCAAACCACGATTCTCAACTTCAGCGTGACATTGCCCAACATTGAAACTAGATCAATATCGTAACTGCGCTGGACTCATTGATAAACATCCCATTTTGCAATTTGTTTATATGTCGCACCCAAACATGTGACCTTGCTCCCCTTCCCTTGTATAACTGGTGAGTACGATGAGATTAGCTGCGAAGCTTGAGCCCCATTCTCAAGAACATCGGGGTGTCAAGTCGAACTTACATTGTTGGCGTTATATTGAGACAATTTGTAGCAGGGAGCGACAGAAAATTTGAGCTCTTGAGTTCTTGTATCAATTCGTAGTTACCTGGCGTGGAAAGGTGAATCGATTGTTGCATCTCATCTGATCTTCCTCGCTTGCCGAGATTGAACAGACTAGATGGATGCACATAAAAGATATGCGGAAGACAGATACCAAATAAGCTTGACCCCCCTTGAATCAAATCACTAGTAGGGACCTGGTGTATTCACCTGAAAAGTTTGAATGTGTTCCTTTGGTTGGCTAGTTTCTGAGAGAAAGGATTTGTTGCACATCTTAATTCTTATCATGTTTAAGTTTGCCTTGCTCTCTCGTAATGAAATTGAAAGTGAAACCGAACCTGAAAACAAGATGTGCAACAAAAGACTTTTTGTATGCTTTTATCACGTGTTGCTAGGTTGAGGTTTGGCATGTTGGGTGAGAGGGTAGGAAACAAGATTAGGTTGTCTCAAGAGGAAACATGCAAGACAAACGAACAAGGAGAATGAAGGGACCCTAATCTTCCCTCAGTACAATTACCTCTACTGGTGGCAACTACAGCCATCTCCGTAGGCAATGCGCCAGCTAACAAGAGGTATACACCAGAAGGGAGACAAACGCCAGTAGAATACTCCAAGCAGCTCAAAGACAGCAACATGATGCATGGGTGCATAGATGCATAGAATTTATGGTCAAAACTAATTTGACAGTTGTTCTAATGAGACTGTGGAAACGAGTCCAATATTTGGGGTTCCTGATCGAGGAGCCCAATAATGAATTCTTGGAGCTCAGAAAACCCAAAAAGCTTTGCGACATATCGATTTGTCGCTACCAATACCCATCATGTAGGAATAATCCGTTCATGCATTGAGAAATTCATATATCCCAAAACAAATCCTCGATCTCCACAAAAATATTCACTTCACCTCCGCTCCATCAAAATCACAAAAGCTTAAGAGCGCGACGCTCTTTAACCCCAATGAACCATTATCGCATATGTTATACTTTTTATAATTCATATACCCGACAATGTCACTGTCCGATCGAAGCCCTCACAATGCTAAGTAGAAAGGCGGACAACATTCTCGAGAATGCTGAATTCTACCGCTGCGCCATCGAGGCGTGTGATGCTTATATGTTTGAGGAGGCTTTGAGGTTATATGGCAAGCCGAAGCGAGAGGACGGAATATGTTAGCTACCTACTTATACCCAGCGTGATGGAAAACATTCACGAGATATTCGTCGCTGGCGAGCCAACTCTGAAAACACCCTCCCGCTCCTAGACACAAGGAGACCAATAAAACAGGAACTATTACTTCAATATTGCTATGCATAATTGATATGATTCATCGCATCAATCACATGGGTTTCGAACAGTGCTCTGAGCAGGTTGTATCACCAATTTGCCCATCTTTAAGTTTTGAGTATCAATTCAAACTAGGTGCAAGTATTAAAGCCATGGCATACTGCCATCTTCTCAAATGTCTTGTATCTAGAAACTAGTACTAGAATACTGACAAAGAATTCAACAAAAAGGCCCTTTAAGAGCCCAATGTGGATAGCAGTATGTACCTTTTTGGTGCGATCTTATGTGTCCTTTCCGGAAATATCACCTTGGATATGAGACTTCGATGATCCTTGGCAACTTGCAGATGCATTGCTTGGCCTTGAAGGAGTTGAAGGAGATTGACCAACTAGAATAGAAATTGGGCGTGGTATCATTGATGGGTTAATGTACCTGAGCTCGTGAGAAGCAAATTACTCCATTCAAACCATCACATTCGTCCAATTCACCGGTAACCTCAGGGTGTACAATATCCGACTCGGAAAAACTGGTGTGCTATTTCTATATCGAACGCAGAATGGGACAGTTCATCGACCAGAGACCGGAATATGCCCTGCTGTAGCAACCTTCAATATTTCTTCCTCTAGTCCTTCAACCAGTAATACCTCAACACCCGCTTCTTCCAATCTTCTCCTCCCTTCATTTTCGCCCACAAATTTCTCTGGTTCTTTCACGCCGACCACTACCTTACGAATTCCTTTTCCACCTTCACCCAACTTCAGGATTCTGTCTAGACAACTCACATTCCCGCTCAATCTCTTTGCACATGGTTCCATTGTAGTATATAATATCGTATTTTCCGGCAAAATTTCCGCAAGTCGTTCTTCAGGTATATTGTGAGCTTGGGAGAGCTTTATGAAGCAACATTGTTCTGCATGCGTATTGCCAGGACACTCCAATGTGTAGCCTGTTGCAATAATAGTATTTGTTGAAGCATTGAGAAGTACTGCACCGACACAGAAATTGGTAGGTTTGGGTGGAGATAGTCGAGCAAGGTCGAGGGCTTGACGGAGGTAAATAAGATGGTCTGCAGTTTTCCTTTCTGTTTCCATTATCAACTAATGTTTCCAACGTTATAGCTTTTTGGATTGAGTTAGATATCAGATATCCATAATATCTCGACGTCTGTTCTTTAATTCTGCCATACTAGATCGACACCGCTTTCTTAGGCATCTCAATTATTAGCCTCGCTACTGGCTGCCTCGTACTTATAAAAGAACGACGTTGAACCCTGAAACCCCAAGGTCTCAAGCGCCTAGATGAGTTTGCGTTAAAACCACTGTGATCGTTGGGCCATCTACGATTACGTCAAGATAGCGAATAATAAGGCCAGAAGCCAATAGGATTTCTTTGGTACTTTTTTGTCTACAGTCTCAATAATCTCTTGACAACTTTATATAGCCATTCATTATTTTAGATCAATTCGATTCAATTCAAAATGTCCATAAAATCATAAAGTTTTCACCCAAACACTCATTGTGTGCTCGTGCTCGAACATCTGTTTCCATCGCGACAAGCCTAACTTTTTGGATAAACTCCCCAGAAGAGAGTGGAATCTCAGCAATCGGGCAAACAGGAGGAAGTGACCACACATACAAATCTGCATCACCATATCTAATCGACTTACACAAGATTCCAAAGTCACTGGATTCATGGGCTTGGAGGCACAATGTCTGAATTGCCGAGTATTAAAGTGACAGATGAACATTTGAAGGGCAGCAAGGAGCAACAACAAGTTGTTGGATCACCAACGACCGAAGGAGGGAGACCACGCTCTGCAACTTCATCCGAAGGTATGTCGGTCATTTCGCATGTTATGAGCTTCATGCTTGTTTATAGACTGCTTTGATAGAGTTATTCCGACTGTGAGGGGTTTATTGCTTCTCAAATACAATGTGCTGATAAGTGTTATTTCCAGACAATGGGCATTCCACAACTCCAAGGAAGTCTGCGATAAAACTCATTCGAAATGGAGTGGCCAAAGAGAACGGAAGTGACACAGCATCTGCACGAACTTCTACTGCTATTGACCCTCTATCACATGTATGCGACTCCGGATATTCTTATTTGATCATTCTATACGAATAGCCACATTAGCTTGAAAGACACACGTTTGCTGACGGACATTTAGCACATTCTGAAGCGTACGAATACCGAAAACACAATCCCACAAAAACTTCGAAATGCTTCTGTCTCAGGAATCTCAGGAAGCGTTCTCCCAGAGGTCCCAGAGCCAGGGAGTTCTAGCACAGGCTCTCCTGGTAGGCAAATGACCCCGGAGATTCGCAGCGACAGTAACCTAGCAAAAGACAAGAAGTAAGTCAATATTTCGCACGATCGGATGTGTAGAAATCTATTCGAGAATGTGCACATTATTCCCTCGTGGCTGCTTATATTGGCGAGAGTCGGCTCTGGTATATTCATATGAAAGCTAATCAATTGCAGGAAAGGAGTCTCGTTTTTGAATCGTTTCAATCTACTAGGGGGAAAGAAGAATGAAGAGCTAGAGATGGATGATGATGAATCAGAATTGGGCGATCCACGCACTGAGGGCATGAATGCCCATGTATTTTCCTCATCAATAGGGGCAAACGGCTATATTCCGAGACACAAGGAGCCCCCACGATATATCAAAGTTCGAGCTCATCACAAGAGGACTATGGAGTTCAATCGCATGTTTCTCGCCCAGGAATTGAGCGGCACGAAAAATCCGTCCAAGAACGAGAACGTACAAACTCCGACAAATTCGGAACATCCTAACAAGTTGTCAAAGCCACCAAGGTCAAACGGTGCAGTCTGGGCAGCTGAATTTAGTAAAGATGGAAAATATTTCGCCGCGGCGGGGAAGGATCGAGTGGTTCGAATCTGGGCAGTGATATCGACCGCAGAGGAGCGGCGAGCGCATGAATTTGATGAGGATGGTGAAAAATTGAGCGCACCTGTTTTCAAATCCAAACCGGTACAGGAATTTGAAGGCCATACTCTGGATGTTCTGGATCTTAGTTGGAGCAAGAACAATTTCCTGCTATCTTCTTCAATGGACAAGACCGTTAGATTGTGGCATATAAGCAGGCCGGAGTGTTTGTGCACCTTTAACCACAAGGACTTTGTTACGTCGATAGCCTTTCACCCCCGAGACGATCGCTTCTTTTTGGCTGGGTCACTAGATTCAATTCTTCGGCTTTGGAGTATTCCGGACAAAAGTGTCGCCTTTTGGAACCAATTGCCGGGTCTTATAACAGCGGTAGCTTTCAGTCCAGATGGTAAGACCGCTATAGCTGGTGTTCTCAGTGGGATCTGCTTATTCTACGAGACCGAGGGCTTAAAGTACCACACTCAAATCCACGTCCGATCATCAAGGGGAAAGAACGCAAAGGGAAGCAAAATCACTGGTATTCGCACGATTGTTTATCCTCCTAATGACCCGGAAGGTGAAACAAAAGTTTTGATCACTTCAAATGATTCTCGAGTTCGTATGTACAACCTTCGAGATAAAGCTTTAGAGATGAAGTTCAGAAGTCACGAAAATGCCTACAGTCAAATCACTGCCCAATTCAGTGATGATGCAAAGTATGTTATATGTGGCAGTGAGGATCACAAAGCTTACATCTGGTCTCTTGGGGTTACGGATAATGAGAGCAAGGACAAAAGGCCATGTGAATTCTTCGAGGCTCATTCTGAGGTTGTCACAGCAGCTGTCATGGCCCCAATGAAGTCTAGGATACTTCTCAGTGGCTCTGGAGATCCCCTCTACGATTTATGCAACCCCCCGCCCGTGACTCTGCTTAGTAGAGAAGAATCGATTCTTCCCTCGACATCTCGTGCAACCAGTCAAGCAGGGAATCGCGATTCTGCTGCGATTTCTGTTGAAGATGTTCAAGAACCTCGAATCAAAAAGCCTGAACAGTCCTCTGCATATCTTGCTAGATCCAATCACAATGATGGCAATATCATTGTAACCGCGGATTACCTTGGTCGCATAAAGGTCTTTCGACAAGATTGCGCTTATCAAAAAAGACGTAATGACCAATGGGAAACTTCATCTCAATTTTCCAAAAAGATGCTCGCTCGAAGCAGCAGCATTATGACACGTCAAAGTGGTGGTTCCCAGTCTCGCCGAACCTCGATCTCCCAGAGTTCTATTTCAGGGCCAGTCACGCAATTTGACAATCACATTCTCGACTGGCGCAAGTCAATTTCCAACGATAGACCTAAGACCTCCAGTTCTCACACCAAACCTCCTCCCTTTAGCAATCGCAGTGACCGTAGCATATCACCCGGTAAGATCACTCGCACTCCTTATTCGCCATCTTCCCCGGCAAACCTTGCAAGCGCAACTCGTCAACTGCAATACGGTATTGTTGTGCCCACAACTACAACAACGATAAGTGGCGGTCATCGGCCACCTTCCATTGCTACAAGTAGCCCTCCTCAATCAATCTTCAAAACTCAATCGCACCAGGCTCTCCCAAGTCAACCGCCCACTCCGTCCTTCACACTCAATCCCGCATCACCTCCTCCCAACGGAGATAGCAGTTCTAGTGTCTATAAAATAGATTCTACAGGCAGATCCTACCAATTTTGGAACGCAGCAAATTGGAAGAACAACTCAAATGCGGACCAAAATGGGAACAAATTTGGTCCAGAGCTTCTTCGGCCTGGCACCTCATCTCGTGGAAGCAGCATCAACTCTAGATTAAGCAGTGATGCAAATTCTGATCTGACAGATGTGGATCAAGAGGTAGAAGGAGAAGCTAGTGATGGCAGTGATCAGATGCTTGCATGTAGAAAATGTGGAGGGAAGGACTTTAGGGCTAAGAAGGTTGGGGTGGGTGTGAGCAGAGCTCAAAAGTTGGTGTGTACAAAGTGTGGGACAGTAGGCAGCGGGTGACGGAAGAATTGAGTTTCGGGCATTGTTTTTGAACGAGAGAAGAGGGCAGCAATCACGCAAGGAAGAGAAAATAAAACGAGTGTAGAAAATTGGAAGCGGAAGTGAAAAGATGCCCGCAGGCGTTGGATTAAAAGCTATATGAGTTCATCGGGTTGTAAAGCGAGCAATTGATAGTAAAGCATTTTGAGCATAGCATAGCATTTGGTGTTGGATTCGGTATTTGGATACCTTTGGTATATCTTTATTCAGCGTAGATCAGGCAGAAAGTGCAAACATGGATATTTTCTATCCTGATCATCTAGATCTCTTTCTTATACTCTCATCTCTATTTTCCAAAACAAATTCGCCTTTTTAAAGCTTGGTTTATCTAATCGGATAAGGCTACAAAACCGAAGGCCGTAAAACCAAGAGGCCGGGCCGATTATTGGCCAGAGTTCATCCCTTGTCCGTCCACTACCAAGTATGTCACTGTCCTCCGTCTCCATACATGACTTTCTCCAGTTACTGTAGATTTCGGATCTTGGGTATATCCACTCGTCCACTACCGGGCCCAGATCTACTCCAGTTTTTGGAGTCTAGTTAGGACACTAATCGGACGGACTTTTGGAATGCTCAGGTTGTCCATCCGTCCACTTGATCGTTGAAGAATTGTTGATGGATGGGATGATTGATTAATAAACTTGTTTTCAATTTGCTTCTTTGTTTCTATCCGAGCTGCAGGCACTGGTGAATTGATCACTTATGCAGGTACCGGAAGTACTGGTACGAAGATATTATCCAATTTCTAAGTTGACATGTCTCTGTTCCGTTACCAATTAGATCATTCCGTCCAGACAAATTGTTTCTTGCTATCTCGAACGGTGAGACAAAGTTTATTCGTCTACTCCGTATCTCCGTTCAATAACGTGCCTCGACTCGAACGTACACTTATTACTGGACGGATGTTTCACTTCCCCGCCCGTCCACCACTCTGTTTCTTCATTTTCCCCATTCGATCTGCATGTGTACATCGTAATTACGGCTACCACTCTTCCACCTTCAGCCTGACCAGAATGCTACTAATATACGTACTACAGTTTGAATACCGAACACCCACAAAACTTGAATCAAGATGTACCGGTACTGCTGCCGTCACGAAGGAAACAGAGTGAGCATTCGTGTCTTCACGGGGTCGCCCTGTTAGTGCGAAAGTTTATGTGGACTAGTTGGGACGGCTTTACAGGTTCGCTGTGCTTGTAATGGAAGGTAGTATTTGAGGACCGACGCTTTTCGTAATCTAATCGATCTGAGGTGGACGGATGGCGAGTATTGCTTTGGTAAGACGAATTTCGTGCTTGTTGAAAAGGCTAATCGCAGAAATTCAGTGATATGGGTGACCGACAAAATGCATTACCGTCGAATAGCAAACCACATTCTGAAGATGTGAATGGGCAAACGCTATAAACACATAATGGTTCGAAACAACGGAAAAGCCATAGTGCGTTCAATCATCTCATTATTTGATCGGACAAAAACGTTATCACTACGGTATCTATAACCCTATCTACATCATTCAATGCCCCGTTGTGTACAAAGTGGACTATGTAGGGGTCAATCCCATCTGAGTCGTGACAGTGCCCTTGAAGATCCTTCCACTGCTTTTCTAGTATGTGCGCCGTTGCAAGTAATAGTGGAAGGGTGGATCTGGTTCTTTTTCCCATATATACATCATGCAAGTTCCCGTAAGATCATCCTCCTTTACCTTCACCTCAAATCTACATTCTTTTTATATCATCTTCATCATGCGCACCTCCACTTTGGCCTCTTCAGTTTTTGCTGCTGGACTCGTGTCCGCTCGCATTACTGCCCGCGATAACAGCTCAGTCTGGGTAACAGAGGTGCCTAACTATGTCCGTCCCTACGCAATTGCACATTATGATGCTTCTGGCTGTGTGGTTGGAAGCCAACTCTATCGATTCCCAGTTACTGGACCATCGTCTGGAGGTGCTTTCTCCCTCCTCGCAACAAACGCACCAGCTTCGACCGATTTAGGAGTTTTCCCTCACATTCATCAAAAGCATTATGAGAATTTCTTCAATCTCAAAGGTCGCTTCCAGCTTTGGACTGAAAAGGATGGTGATTCTGAGACAAGACTTTTGACACAAGGTGATTACGGAAGTGTACCAATCAACACAACCCATACTTTTCAAATTTTGGATCCCGACACTGAGATGGTCGGAATTATCTCACCTGGAGGATTTGAGTAGGTTGCCCAGGCATTAGCTGCAACTGAACAGAAGACTAACAATATTTTAGGGACTTGTTTTATGCCCTCGCCGATTCCAACTGGACCTTAGCCTCTTCGGAAACCCAACCTCCTTACGATCCTCTCCTCGTCGTCAATAGCAGTAGCTCTCATCCCGCATCAGTCATTAGCTCTCTTGAAAGTTTCGATGTCTATGCCCAGCTTGACTTCGTTCCTCGTACGGATGCGATCAACGGTACTGCTCCATTGAACAGTACCTGGCACACTGGAGCCAACGCTCTTGGCGCTCGAGGTTCTCCATACTACGTTGCCAAGGACTTTGGACCACAATACATTAACGATGCCGCTGGATACCAAATCATTCAGCCATTCGTTACTCCAGTACAATCCGAGAATGCATTTTCTTTGTCGACCATTACCCTTGCTCGCAAGTTGTCCAACGTCACGATCCCAACATCATCATATATCGGCCATGCGGCTTTCGAGGTTCTTGAGGGTATGTTGACTGTTGAGATGGAAGGTGAGACATTATCGCTTATCCAAGGCGATGTTGTCTTCATCCCTGGAAACACAACATACAAGTACTACAGTACCGTCCACTTCTCCAAATTTTTGTTCATCGGTGCTGGAGCCGAAGCAATGGACACTCAGCTCATCGCTGCTGGTGCTTCATGGTCTTCCCCAATTTGGCCTACGTATGCTTAGGTATTTCGTGGTGGATCTCTCTAGCTAGCTAAGCTTAGGTAGCTATTTACAAACCAATTAATAATAAACAATACAAAGCACCTGACATTTGGAATCCATTCGTACAAAAAATTGCTTTTCAATAATTGAACGTTTCAGGAACATAGATCTACTCGGCCTATTTTTCTGCAAAGAGATAGCCTGAATTCTGAAGAGCCTCGTTCCCAAAATATCTCCCTGCGGACCATTCTAGAATTGTCTCCGTCTTGGCCTTGATTTCACTTCACTAGGTACTTGATCTGCAAAACGATTGCTAAAAAGTATGGGGTATGAAAAGCCTCCTTCCAAGAATACCCTCTAATAAAATCTAGCTCAGCCTCAACACCACGCACTACTCGGTCTTTTACGGGTGTATTCTGTAGAAAAGCTACATCAAAGCCCAAATTTTGGACGAAAAAAAATCTCATGACTGACAACAATGAAGATATTTATAGATGACGCGCAAGATACTTCCTGATCTTGGTGACAGCACATATTTCAAGGGGAAAACCTTGGATTAACCTCGGAATGTCACCGAACCTCGAAGTGAATCAAGGTTAACAAAATTTTGGTATCCAATTTCGCCCCATGACTGCCGAGCCACAGTGAAACGGATGAAAATTGGTTAGTTGCCGCGAATCTCAATTACCTAAGCGAGCCAAGCCACAATATCCATGCAAGCTCTAGTCTCTTTAGAGTTAGCGTGCCCCTTTTTCAACGTCATGTAAGTTTATGCACGGAATATCGGAGAGGAACCACCGCATGTTTCCAGGAAATTCGCATTTCTTTTGCAGTTATACGAGATTTCGATCATCTCTTTCGCATGGGGATCCTATAGGCGACAATGCTTTACTAGGTGGAAACAGAGCACCGACATGTATATAAGCTTCACCGCGTTCACTCCCTTTTCTTAATTTGCTCCTTTTCTACTAATTGCTAACGAATAATTCACGAATCGATATACTTAAACGTCTCTCGTTCTCGATATTCACTACATCTACCTACTATCCTCTCAACTTTTCGATCTTCGATATCATAAAATCGATACCTTCATCATGCGTGTTCAAGTTCTTCCAGTTATCGCCCTCCTTTCCATTGGTGTTTCGGCACAAGATCTCGGTAGCCTCGTCAACTCAATAACCTCAGATGTCGGCGGAGCAGTAAGCACAGCTACATCTGCCATTGGTGGTGCCGCTGATACTGTCACTTCTGGAGCCGCAGGAGTCTTTTCGACCGTCACCTCAGGAGCTGCTGGCGCATTCTCAACTGTGACTTCAGGGGCTGGTGGTGTCGTTTCAACTGTTACATCAGGAGCTGCTGGCGCATTCTCAACTGTAACCTCAGGTGCCGGCGGAGTTGTTTCTACTGTTACATCAGGAGCTGCTGGCGCATTCAGCACCGCAACTTCCGGAGCCGCTGGAGCCTTCTCTACAGCAACCTCTGACGCCGTTGGCGCATTTTCCACGGCTACCTCTGCTGCCGCCTCCCGATACTCGAGCATCAAGAGTGAAGCTAGCAGCGAAATTTCCAGCTTGAGCTCCGTCGCCCAGACCGCCACCGACAGTGCCGTTAAGAGTTCGATCAGCGCAGCAATGAGCAGTATCAGCAGCGACGTTGCTAGTGCCAGTTCCGAAGTAAAGAGTGCCACTAGCAGAGCTAGTGGTGCAGTTAGTTCCGCCACTAACAGTGCCGCAAGCGCTACTTCTAGCTCAGGAGCTATGAGAACCCAAGTGCCAATGGCTGGAGGAGCTATTTTGGGTGCGGCTTTATACTTGTTGTAGATTGATGGCGGATATAATGAGCGAGAGGAATTGAATGTGTTATGTTCGGAAATGCTAAGGGTGTTTTGATACGGCGTTGATTAATTGTATAACATATATCCTTTCACGAATAAAATATATATCTTTGGGGCTTCATCCCTTTCATGAACTGTTTCTATAAATCCTTGATTGCAATCTATGCTCTGATTTTCATATTCTCAGGCTTGTTTTTGAAGGGTGCTGATGCCAAAATTCAAATTATACCAAAATTATCAACCTTATGAGGGTTTCTATGTCAAAGATAATCTCTGATACAAATTGAATAAATTTGATCAAAAGTAATTGTGTAATCCTGAAGTTGATTACCTAGGTATTCATTGATTATTATATAGAATATCTGCGAATCTATCTCTAATTGAAACGATATTGATTGCTGAACATAGTGAGTTTCTGAATGATTGTGGTAAGCAAATTCAATAATAAATTTCAAGCCTGAGTATATGCTAATTCGATACTGAGAACTGCTGAGCCATGCCCCGATTATACATTGTAAAACTTGAATGCTGGAGAAAGATTTATGAAGCTTTATTGTCATGGCTTACGAAACCCGGCAGATCTGAGCCAGATAGTTCGGCAAATTCCACCATCTCTATCAATTTCATAGACGGGGAGCATTCATAGACTTGGTGATAATAATACAAGTCTTGACCTTTTATCAGACTTCAGTTGTCGTGCTTTTACAGTAACGATACCTATCGAAAGAGCAAGCTCTAGATGCAACGGTTAGTGAATTCTGGTGTTTGAGTGCGGACAGAATCAGGAGCATCTTTATGTTCAAACCTGTTCAATGTTCAAACCCATCTCCAAACTCAAAGACCACTTCGATATCCAAAGCCATCTCAATGTTAAACTTTATCTTAATATTCAAATCATTATAAATACAAATGTCACCGAACAAGATTGATTCAAACGGAGAAAGAGGCAATGTAGTTTGAGTAAGCAGCTTTGCGTGCTATCTCGGCCTGGAGCAATCGAGCAGCAGCAACTTAGCAATAAGGTCGTTATCTCTTAGCACGAAACTTCTTCTTCTTCTGTATCTGCGGAAGAATTATCAAAGCAACCTATGCAAGTTTTCTAGCGTTCTTGATGTCCTTGGTAACGAATCTTTAAGTGGGATTTCGTGTAGAAACTCACAATGCCATATTCTTGAACTGTGATCGAGTAACAAGCTGCTAAGTCGGATACCCCACTTTCAGGCCACCCCTCTTTTGAACCACCCTTTTACACCAAAAATCACTTTTTAATTTATTAATATCTCTATTGATATTGAATATAATTTAATAAAAATTTATATATATAATTCAAGATATTTCAATCTTATATTAAAAATTTCAGATTTTTAGGATTTTTGTGAATCGATTTCTGAAACTTCAAAATATCGATTTGCAATTTGTATAGAAATCACATACAAATTTGAAACTTTATAAAATCTATAATAACTTCTAAGAAAAAATAGTTAAAAATAAATCATAAAATTTTATAATATATTTATAATATATTTATTTTGAAAGATTCTAAAAAAAATTGAAAATTCCTTATAAATAAATATTTAAAAAAAATGCCCTCAAAATTGCAGGGATTATTTATACTATTCTAAACTCACTATATATTATATCTCTATATCTATTCATTTTTTTGAATTTCCATATGAATTCAAATTTGGAATCTTCAAAAATATATACAATTTTCTTTTAATTATTATTTTTAAAAAGTTGTTAAAAATTATATAAAAGTTTTAAATTTGTATATGATTTCTATATAAATTCGAAAATCGATATTTTGAAGTTCTAAATCTCAATCCAGAAAAATCCTAAAATTCTAAAAATTCTGGTGTAAATCCAAAATGACTTGAATTATATAAATATAAATTTTTATTAAATTATATTGAATGTTGATAGAGATATTGATAAGCCAAAAAAGTGATTTTTAGTGTAAAAGGGTGGCCCAAAAAAGGGGTGGCCCAAAAGTAGGGTGGTCGACTTAGTTCTCGAATACTTCAACAAAATTTCAATATGATTGTCAAAAGTAGCTCTCAGTTACTACTAGCGCAACAGATGTTCTTAAGAACAAGCATATAACCAAAAGACCAAACAAAACAGAAGGATAAATAACTAAGGAATGATTCACTTATATGAACCTTCAAACGGGACTTCGTATATATTTGAGCTTCTTCTTTACAAACCCCAGAGCATATTGCAACCACACTGCCTAAAACACCTTCAACATTTCACAGAAAATTTGAAACCTTAGATCAATAATCCCAAAGCTCCACCAACCATAACTCCCCAAACTGGGACATACTTCTCTGGAGAATCTCCAGAAGCCGCAGTAGCATTAGCCGCGGCACTAGCGACACTACTGGCGCTTGCAAATTTCGAGCTTAAGCTACTAGCGCTCTCCAAAGCCTCGGTTTGGGCCTTTCCTGTAGCCGTACTTGCCATGCTTTCCAAACTGCTGACCTCGGCGCTGATACTCGTAGCTTGTGCTTGAGCAGATGTCACAATCTTAGATTGGGAGCTCAATGATGCAGCATTAGATGTAGAAGCTTGAGAGGCGGATTTGGAAAGAGATTTGGAGATTGAAGAGACGGCTTCAGAGAGTGAGGATGCTTCAGATGAGAGGGAAGATAGTGCAGAGCCGGTGGCTGTGGCTTCCATGGAAGTGACAGAGGATAGAGAGGATATTGCTGTGGAAAGGGCGTCTTGAGTAGCCTGAGCTTGGGCATAGTCTGATGTGATAGTATTTACGGCGCCAGAAGCCTTTCCCCCAATAGATGTTCCATCAGCAATTATTGATCCAAGATCAGCAAACACCACGGTGGCGAAGAGTGAGAGGGGTGTGATGGTGCTTGCAAATCGCATGGTTGATTATGTGTTAACTTTGTGAAATGTAAACTTTTGCTAATAGAAAGTAATTCGATGGGACTAGTCAATAATTTTCTTTGATCGCTGTGAAATGTATTAGAAAAGGCTTAATTACAGTTATGGGGATCTCCAGATTTATAGATTTCTAATTCGAGAACGATGATACCAGGAAAGCAGGAGGATCAAACGACTGAGCCACGAAGCTTGTAACAGTAGCACTTGTACCTGCATCTGAGTCGTACTGTTACTCTGTAAAAAGAAGCTTCCCTCAAACACCCATGTCAAAGAAATTACTACGCCATTGACGAAATCCTATTCACACAATTACTAGGCGCCCGCCGCGGTCACAATTTAAGACGGGCCCCGCTCCCAACTTGACATAGCATAGACCTTCTCTTCATTGAAACGTCTGAACCCCTAGGAAGTAACGTTGAAGTATGTTCACTTCACTTGAAATCCTTTCCTAGAACGGAAGTTGTAGACCGATGAAGGATTTCTCCTCTTAGAGGAGTGCTGTTTTATTGTTCTCTTCATTTTATTTCTAGAATAAATTATGTCTCGCGCGGCTATGGAACTTTCCTAGCCACGGTCACGATCGAAGCCTGTGAGGTATTTGATCTTGCATTCAAAAATTGTTCACAAGCATAGGTTCATGCTTATCTGATGCAACGTCGTTGGGATATCATGCCCCATGACTCCCATCACCCATCCAAACACTGTCAGTTTTTTATCTAAAATTCATGGAGAAACTCATTTACATTCTGATTTGATTCTATCAGTCATCAAGCTCATGTGTAATGCATTTGAGTGCACATTCTCCAGAACATAGTTTCAGTTCGATCGACCCCCGGGTGTTTTGAAATAGTCTGGCATCAAATGAGACTCTTGGGGACAATCATGGCCAGCTAATGAATGACCAGTGCCGATAAATAGATTCGTGATGGTATTGTGACGGCACAGTTCGGGCTCGCAATTAAGATTGCTCCGAATTTATTCCTGTGGGCGCAACCGAAGGATTTAGGTCTCCAAACACCAACACAACAGTTAACGAAACGAACCGCACAAGTTTCCTGTATTGATAGACAGCGACCAGATTTAGAACACTCCGTGAGTATGCATCAATTCTATCTATCAGAGTGAGAGCCTGTACTCGAGTTAAATCCTGTCAAAGAGCTGATGGCAGGTTTCAGAGATAGGCATACCTGAGATTGTCGATAAGTCGGTATTATGAAAGTCACAGGTAGCTATATCCTTTTGGAAATGGAAACTGTGCGTGTAATTGTAGTATAAATGCTTGACCCCAAAAGAATAGTCTAACCGAGCGTATGGAGCATATAAGTCATATATAAATTTATCATCCTGAGATACTATTTTACATTCTGAAGACGCCGAATTTGGTATCTACCGGTTCATTCTTCCCGCCCAATGCAGCCATCAAACTCAGACCTAAAACTCTTCTCGTATGACTTGGTGGAATAACTCCATCATCCTAGATACTATGTTAGTCACTCCATTTCCATTTTGTGTTTACGGAAGACAACATACCCATAACCTAGCACTTGAGAAAACTGCCTCACTCTCTCTATCGATTCTATCTCTGAGTTCTGGATCAACAGCCTTTCCAACAGTCTCCATGACAGCGGTCAATTGTTCACTTCCCATTACTCCAATCCGTGCATTAGGCCACATCCATAAGAATCGAGGACTATATGCCCGACCACACATACCATAATTACCAGCACCATTACTGGCACCAACTACGACGGTAAACTTAGGTACATTGGCACATGCAACTGCGGTCACCAGTTTTGCACCATTTTTCGCAATACCCTCGCGTTCAGCATCAGTGCCTACCATGAATCCACTGATGTTTTGCAGGAAAATAAGAGGAATTCTACGTTGGGTGCAGAGCTCAATGAAATGGGCGCCTTTGAGGGAGGAGGCTGAGAAAAGAATACCGTTATTGGCTATGATACCGACTTTGTGACCGTAAATGTGAGCAAAGCCCGTCACAAGAGTCGAGCCATAGTCGCGTTTGAATTCGGAAAAGACACTTCCATCTACAATGCGAGCGATAACCTCGTGGATGGGGAGAGGTTTGCGGTGGTTAGTTGTAGCGATTCCAGTCAGTTCTTCGGGAGAATAGAGGGGCTCATTGTAGGATCCTGAGGATGGAAATGGTTTGGTGGGCCAATTAATATTGCTAACGGATCGGCGGGCAAGGACTATGGCGTGAGCATCATCGACGGCAAGATAGTCTGTTACTCCAGATACGGAGCTGTGCATATTTCCACCTCCTAGTTCTTCAGCTGTTACAACCTCTCCAGTTGCGGCTTTTACTAGAGGTGGGCCAGCCAAGAAAATATGACCTTGTTCACCTACGATGATACTCTCATCAGACATGGCAGGAACATAGGCACCACCTGCTGTACAAGGACCCATGACCACAGCTATTTGTGGGATTCCCATTGAACTCATTCTTGCTTGATTGAAGAAAATTCGACCAAAGTGCTCTCGATCTGGGAAGACATCTGCCTGATGTGGAAGATTGGCTCCACCCGAATCTACCAGGTAGACACAACTGTATATTATCAGTATCTGAAAATTGTCTAAATCAATTGAATGAAAACTCACGGTAAATTGTTTTCCTTTGCTATCTCTTGTGCTCTCAAGTGCTTCTTCACAGTAATTGGATAATATGTTCCTCCTTTCACGGTACTATCATTTGCAACCACCATACACGTTACTCCCTCAATGACACCTACCCCCGTAATAATCCCACCAGCAGGTACATCCGCCTCAGGATAAAGCTCATGACCTGCCAATGCACTCAATTCTAAGAATGAAGTACCTGGATCTATGAGTGCAGTGATACGATCTCTAGGAAGCATCTTTTTGCGTGCAATATGCTTTTCACGTGCTTTGGGAGGACCACCTTGATGTATTTTGGCGGTGAGAGTAGAGAGGTGATCAAGAAGAGGTTTCATTTGAGACTCATTTTGAATATATTCCTCTGAAGAGGTATCGACATTTGTAGGAAGAACGGAGATGGCTTTTGCTTGGGTTGGAGGACAATAAGTAGCAATTGTTCGAAAAGGAATGGAGGTTGCTTTGTGATATATTGGTCGTAGGGATTTCCTAGAGATATTAGGTAGAATTCTGGATGCTCTGAGCGAAGCCATTGTGTTAGAAGTTATGCTGTGGTGACAGCAAAAAAGTGAGATATTCACATGGACATTTAAGCATTTGTTTTGAGACAAGATCTCAATAGACGAAGCGGGAATAGGCTCGACGGCTAGATGCGGCCCCGCGTTTCCCCGGAAAACCACGGTCCAAGCTAGCTAGGAAGGGTTTACAATTATTGTGTACATCTACAAAACCTAAAACAATGTAGAAAACAAACTCTCTCAATTCTTACAACATTTTCACAGAACAAAAATGGCTTCCTCATTAAAATGTCTTCGGTCCCTCACTACTCGACCTATATCTCATCTCCACATCAAACCTTCCATCCCCATATCCACAATCCGTCGACGTAATGCATCATCTAAGCACCCCGCTGGTTTCGAGCCACCAACCTCTTCTGATCTGATCGAGCTCCGCGAACGAGTACAAGAATTCACACGAAGGGAAATTCCTGAAACGCTTGCAGCTGAAACCGATAAATCGAATGCATTTCCCAATTCAATGTGGCAAAAATTCGGCGATGCAGGGTTCCTCGGCATAACTGCTTCTGAAGATGTGGGCGGATTGGCTTTGGGTTACCAAGCACATTGTATTGTGATGGAAGAAATATCTCGTGCCTCGGGTAGTATTGGATTGAGTTATGCTGCACATTCACAATTGTGTGTGAATCAATTACAATTGAATGGCAATCAGAACCAGAAAATGAAGTATATGCCGGGGTTGATTGATGGGAGTAAGATTGGTGCATTGGCTATGAGTGAGAGTGGTGCAGGAAGTGATGTTGTCAGTATGAGGACGACAGCAAAGAAAGTAGATGGTGGCTATGTGCTGGATGGAACGAAGATGTGGATCACCAATGGACCAGACGCAGATGTTATTGTGGTTTATGCGAAAACTGAGCCTGAGAAGGGCTCGAAGGGAATTACAGCCTTCTTAGTCGAAAAAGGATTCAAGGGTTTCAGTTGTGCGAGAAAACTAGACAAGATGGGTATGAGAGGAAGTAATACTGGAGAATTGGTTTTCGAGGGGGTATTTGTGCCCGAAGAAAATATCTTGGGCGAGGTCAACAGAGGAGTCAAGGTACTGATGGAAGGACTTGACATTGAGAGATTGGTGTTAAGTGCCGGACCATTAGGTATTATGCAAGCTGCTTTGGATGTTGCACTCCCATTCACACATCAACGCAAGCAATTCGGTCAACCTATCGCACATAACCAACTCGTCCAAGGAAAACTTGCAGATATGTATACAAAGCTACAAGCTTCGAGAGCTTATACGTATGATACAGCGAGGACTGTCGATGAAACAGGCAATATTAGGACACAAGACTGTGCTGGAGCTATTATGTATGCTGCTGAGCGAGCCACGGAAGTCTCATTAGATTGTATACAATTGTTGGGTGGCATGGGTTATGTTGAGGAAATGCCTGCTTCGAGATTACTGCGTGATGCAAAGCTCTATGAAATTGGCGCAGGAACTACCGAAGTCAGAAAAGTGGTGATAGGAAGAGCTTTCAACAAAGAATATAGTGGATTTAGTGCCTAGAAAGGGGGTGTGTTTGTTAGATAGAGCATAGCGATGGGCTTCGTGTAACATGTAGTATACCTCAGCAATGATTAAAGTTCTTTTTTCTTCATTAGTCGACCCCACGTGAATCTGATCGATGCGAAATCGTGTCTCGTACAGTAACAGGAGCCAGCTGTTGAAGCCAGTCTCAATTTCCACAAATGCAACATTCTCAATTCACTTACTCTATCCCATCGTAGCCATCTCGATTCTCTATTCTAAAACCTTGAAATCACAAACTTTCACATCCCCATCTTCCCCTCCCTCAATTTCTGATAAATCTCCTCCTTATACCCCTCCAAATTACCAATCATATAGCCCGGTTCAAAGGTCGGCCCTTCATCCTACATGCACACACATCAGTTTTAATCTGCTCATACACACATACATCACAATCTCTCTCCGCACTCCTTCCGCCACCCTTCTACATCCCAAAACGAAACACGAATAGAAATTGTACTTACCCCAATCATCTTCACAACCCTAGTCCCACACCCGCTAACTTCTAAAATCGTCCCGCCGACATATTCGGTACGAGTAAGTAGTTCTAACATCGCTTCTGCGACTGTTTCGGCGGGAATCCATTTTTGATCAGTGGTTAACATGGTCATTTTGTCGGGTTGATGGGACCAGATTGGTGTCTTTGAAAAGTCAGTATAGTCCCCTCATTTCATCTGCATCTGCATCTCCATCCAAAAACGCCCTCTCCTCCCTTCCCATCAAACCACAAAGAAAAAGAAAAAGAGAGCTCACCTGCACAAGCGCCGGCGCAATAGCCGTGACCCTAATCCCCAACTCCTCCAAGCCCGCCATACTCCTCACAAACCCCGTAATCGCAAATTTGCTCGCGTGATACAGCGGAGTTTCCATAACTCCTATTTGGCCCGCTACGCTCCCCACGCAGATGACTCTTCCGCTTCTTTGGGACGAAGTCCAATACTCGACGCCCATTTGCGTGAGACGGATTGGGTGCGTGATGTTTACGTTGAGGGTGTGGAAGGAGCCGGGGAAGGGATTGACTTTGGGAGATGTGGTGTTTGATTTCTTTTCTGAGGGGGATTGCTCGAGAGGGGGAGGGGGGCGTAGATGGTGGGTATCTTGGGAGAGGGGGGTTCCGGGAGGATTGTAGAAGTTGGAGAAGAGGGGGTCGAAGAGGCCGGCGCCCGGGACGAGGATGTCTATTCCTGCTGGGAAATGGGAGAGAGTGTATTCGAAGAGGGAGGTGAGTGCAGGCCAAGATGTGACATCGGTGGAGTGGTACAGACATTGTGGGGGTGTGGGGGTAGCAGGGGATGAGGAATCCGGGGAAGTGGAGGTGTAGGTGGTGAGGAGTTGGGCTGCGGCGGGTTGGAGAGAGAGGTCGGCTATAACCACATTGCAATCTTTTGAGAGGAGGAGAGTCGCGAATGCGAGATTTATACCTGAAGATAGTATGTGAGAGGGTGGAGATAGGGTGGAGGTTGAGAGAGGAGAGTACCTGAGCCCGCGCCGGTGACGATGGCTACTTTCCCCTCCACCTCAAGGTCCGTCTTAAGATTCATCTTAAATCGAGAATCTAACAAGCTATAAGATATCGACGATTTACTAGGGTGTTATCTACCAAAGTAGAATGTAAGAGACAACAAGACACCAAGATACTGAAGAAGGTGCGGTTGAAAGTGTAGGATGACCATACATATATCAGGGATTCCCTGTGTGTTCGTACACAATCTATTCACACTTGCTAATCTGGTATGTATCATATCCTATCCTATCCATTTGCATATTTTGCGGCGCCATCCGCGCATGGTTGTACCGGAGCGGGGATCTCTTAGCTGAACCTTTGCTTTTTCTTCAGTCCAACCGCAACTTGTCACATGTACCATTTGACACGACCCTTTCGGATAACAATACCACATAATAAGCCCTGAGTCGTACAGTAATAAGCCACTGTCCTTAAACGACATATTGATTAGCTGAACCACTCACATCTCATCACAATTTGCAATCAGCTTACAGAGTCCAAGTTGAGAATATTTCAATGCCATTAACTAACGTAGCCGTGAAGTAGGGTATAGAATCAATATGCCTCTAGGCGCCGTGTAGCCATTCGAAACCCATGATGTACATACAAACTCCAACCCCAAAACCAATAATATAAAACCCACATTCAATGACCCGCCAGATTTCATGCATACTCCTTTTGCCATTTGACTAATTGCCTAGTAAGAATGTCCATCATTTCCAGACAAGTTAAATCCTTAAATTCCTTTGGTGTTTCACTTTCGCCTCGAGCCACCTGTTTCCCATTTGCGCCATTAAGTTGTATCATAGGAAGAGTTTCTTCGACCAGTCCCCGAATAGATTTCTCCGCTCCACTGCCACTTGGAAGTATTGACGGGTCTGCAGCCAATTCAATTTGAGTTCGTGATATGAAATCAAGGATGTTTGTAGCACGTTTCCTCATCTCGGCCATACTAATCTTGCTTCCTACGCTGGTCTTTGCCTTACTAGTCTTGCTCTCATTATGTGAAACTCTGCTAGTCGTTGTCTGTACGTTATCGTCCGTACGTTGAATATCTCTAGATTGAGATCGATTGGGAGATTGAGCGTTGTTATCGTCCTTTTCCCTAGTGTATTGATTCTTGCCCGATTTACCCTTTCGAGGATTGGGAGGTCTGCCACCCTTCTTGTGAGAAACTGGCGGTAGAACTGGAGGAGGTGTATCTGGCGCTATGGTTTGTGACACTGGGGGCGGATCTGGAGGTTGTGCCAATACCTCGGGGTTCTTGCTTGGAGGTTTTATCGCCGGCGGGGTCTCTTCAATAGGCTCTGAATCTAGGCGACTGTGAGTTGTTGGCTACATCATAATGTATTTGACTGTACTGACCTTCAATTCTTCGCCGTTCAGCTCGACCTTTTCTTTTATTTGCGGCTTCCAGCCTCGACCTTTCTCGTTCTTCCCTTAATTCCTTTTCTCTATGGTTTTTAGCTGCTGCTCCCCTTATCTTTTTAGCTGCTCCAAATCGACCATTTCCCACGATTGTGCTGTCCTCAGATTCTGCCTGAGAGTGGGGTGCCTCTTGTGGTTTCTCATCGTCTTCAGGAGAAGGAGAAGCCGAGTCCGTCCGTTGCCTTTTGGGCCCATCGTGTTTGCTACTAAGAGTAATTAGAATAATTTGCGCTACTAGAATGGCATTTACTTACTCTTCGCTGTCACTCCGGCTTCTTTTTGCTTTGCGACTCCGGCCATCAATACTTTCTGGGATATCTGCGACACTGGCTGCTATGGCTTTTCGAAGTGCTTCTTCTTCAGCAGCTTCAAAATACGCAGCATCTCTACTATTCATTGTTGAGCGCCTCTTTGTGCTTGCAGAGCTGGAGCTGGGTCGACCATTTTTACCACCCTTCGGTGATCTTGTGCCGTCTTTTGAAAATGAAGCCGCTCGAGAGGTTGTTCTGGAGAGATTCGGGTGAAGGGGTAGGTATAAAGAGTAGCGTTGTCTGCGATCCATTATGTCAGAATTATCATCGATTTTTTCTTGAGTTGGAATTATTTGTTTAAGGTTCTTGCGCAATTAAGAAATCAATCTTGTGAGACTTCGATCTGCGCCACGGTCTCGCGTGGATGCTGACAATTCGAGTGAATCTCTTGAATGGGGGTATATGTGATTGATGCGAAAAAAAGGACTCACCCGTTTGACGCCGAACGAATTCTGTGAAGTTCTTTACGACATTGTTCGCAAAAGTATTCTTCGGGACTTGTGTCTTCGTTCACAATTCCAACGCATCCGCCGTGTTGCCAGACTTTGCAAACGTCGCATTGTAAGAAAAATCCAGCCAAATCTTCTGTAAAATCCGCTGCTGTTATGACTGGCTCCTCAATTCCATCTTTTATATTATTCTTGTTATCGTCGTCCTCGAGTTGTGGCGGTCCGGGATATTCATCGTATCCGCAGATGCATCGAACAGCTTCATCGTCATCGCCTCCCTCGTCTACACCAATGACTATGTCTTCATCAACTAATTGTCCTTTTTGTATCTTATCACCTCCATCAACTCGACCTCGCTTTCGACGTGTCGAGGAACTATCTTCGGCCGTGATTGTGTCGTCAGGAGAGTCCGAGGAAAGTGAGGCGGCTGGAGTCGACTTTCGTGGCGATTCGACTTTATTGTTTGAGCGAGTAGATCTCTCAGCGCGACTAGAAGAATTCGAGGAAGCTGAAGAATGATGTGAATTAGTTTGAGAAGGTTGACTGCCTCGAGCAGCCCTTGACGAACGCCTAGTAGTATCCATTCCCAATGATTATAATAGTACAAAGGTAATATTGAATTCGAGATTCCGTATGTGCGAAATAGATTAAAATTCTGGTAAATCTCGAGCGTGTAGGTAATGCGTAATTTGTGAATTGAGATCGTAATTCAAGTCCTCCTCCTACTTCGATGAGAAGCTTTTAATTCCAGTCTTCCCAAACCAAAACCAAGAGTAAAACCAAAAGAGAAGGAAGGCAAGGTGAGTATTGGAAAACGATTGAGTATCGATTAGAGCTTAGAGAACCAAATTGGAACCCGAAGATATGCGATCTGATAAATAGGAAGGTGGATAAAGTTTCCTGGTGTAATCATGACTGCGGGTGTGAAGAGAGTGAGGAGTGAGGAAGAGCGAAAGGAAATAATTTACTAAATTCAAAGCTGCCCTTTCGTCCCCGCCAAATTCCCTAGTGAGTAAGTATTGTGGTTAGGCATAGGTAGGCATAGGCCAAATTCCGTCGGAAAATGTGAAGAGCGAAGGTAAACTTTGGAGTGACTAATGGAAAAATATTAACCAATGAGAATATTACTTTCATGTTTCCTTGTTAATATTTAAGAGCTGCTAAACGCAATTGGATCTTCTCTCCTCTTTTTTTCTTTTATATAGAAAGTTGTGTGAACCAATGATAACTTGCATGGACCTACCGCATCATCCACAAAATGACCAGCCACTGGTGAGCACAATACTCTAGGTATTAGTAGGGACAGTTGCCTCATATCGCCTACTGTACGATTTATACTTTTAATAGCCCCGGTCGTCTGGGTATTCACTGTTCAGCCTGGAGGTGGTTGAAGAAAGTGAGGGTTAGGTATGGGAAATATCTCAGAAAGGGTTTCTGTTTCTGCCATCAATTGATTGAATGACGCTCCGCTGGCCCTCTGGGAGCCACTGCCGTGGAGGCAGACTATGTATATGGAAAGGAAAGAAAGATAGATACCTTCGAGCGCAGCGAGCTATGGGGGTTTGGGGGCTTGCCCCCATCAATAGATCGATATATAGTAATAAATATGTAAGCACCGTTACCTGGGTATATATACACATATACTATACTATAATTCTATGAGATTTTCCAGTGACGCATGCTTGATTGATTTAAATCGACAATAAACATAGATATGGCAAGGCGATGGTCAATCTAGTAATAATTGAGTTTTTTCTACCGATATACTTATCACAAGCGAAGTACTTAATTAGTACCTAGATCGACAGAGTTATACAACTCCAGTATCTACGAGCTAATTCATAGGTGGTAGATATATATGCTACCTATCTAGGTACCTAGTATGCATTAATAATATAATATGTGATCTAGATGACATCAATCAAAAGTCGTTCAGCAGTGCTAGTATATCTACAGCGTGCATAAATACCTAGACAGTAGGTATTTTTAGCTATTGACTTTTTTCCATCAATACCGTTAATAAGTATTTGTGACCTAGTGCTTGCTGTCATTCATCAATGAAATAGGTACTGTCTAATAAGTAGATATAGTTTCTATGAGTAGTATCTAGATACTAGGTAGGTGGATAGATATAGATCGATATATGATTGATACACCTACCTAGATGCTGCTGTGCCAATTAAATCTTCCATAAAGCATTGCGGGCATCCAGGTACTAGCATTAATCTCTTCCCCTTCACTTTCCCACATTCATCAACGTGATTTCTAAATCATTTGGTACTTTGATCCACACCTTCCCTATTTAAGTTTAGCTATCTAATCTTAGCTAACGCACTTGGAGGGCATCAACATCTTCGGTTCAATGAACGTAACCAATTTATTAGAAAGGAAACGACTAATAATTAAGGTCTTTATTGACAAAATAATTTCTATCTCGCCCCAAGACCACCTAATACCAGTGAATATAATCGTCAGAATTCACACTTCCCTCCTCCGATTTTGAATATTCATTGTTCGTACCATCACTCGCTTTTTCAAAAGGGTTATATTGGATAAGGGAGATAAACACAGACTCTCATACTATTCTGTTGTCCGTGGGGTTCAAAGTCGTCAATAAATCTTCCTAGGGCTTCCCCCTCTCTCGAAATCATTGCTGAGTATTCGCAATCAAAACATTCAAAGTATGCAACTCTATACGGATTTCTTCCTCAGACATTAAAAAAAGGGGGCGAAATTATGTTCAGTCTCTTAAGATGGTTGGCATGTCAGGGTTTTGGTTTGGGAATAGGGATGACAAATTACATGTCATTACTTCCCTATTCTGTATGCGAGAGTTCTGGCTGATGTGTTTGTTGTTTATTGTAGGAAAGGAAAGCTCAAGGAAAATCAACCAAAAGTTAATTCTGTCTCTCAAATCGAAGAGAACAAATACATTTCTGCCGTACGCGAACCTTCAGAAAAGCGCCAATTTAGTCTTGGAGGTAGTTGGCATGTCATGTCCTCTTTCTCGGTGATGAACACAAGTATGAAATTCTCATAGCGTGGCACCTCTCACTATTGATTCCGCCACTGTTGACTACCAATTTGGCAGCGGCAAACAACCACAAATTCTTTTTATGACAACAGGAATCATGGTGGGCTTTGTCTCATGTATATTACATTGGCTGATCTCTGTATTTGAATGCTTGTTAGGCTACTCCCCGTCCGAATCATCACGAGCTATGTCTCCAGAAGTTGTATCGCCGGCACATCCAGAACGTCCCATCAGACCTCTGCCCAAAAGAAGTCTCCGTGAACGTCTTTCTCCTAATGTCGCCGAATCGATCAAATACCCGCCCGCACCTAAAACTCAAACTCCCTTATTCTACTATCCATATACTGTCCGAGACGAGGTTGCGGCAAGCACTATGGTAGAGGCTTCACATCCAAGTGAACGTCCGCAGGTAGACAATGCCGATCAAAATTATATCCCGCGGCGGAATGGAGAGGATCCAGAAAGTGAAGAGGAGGAGGTTTTCCGTTCTACGCGACTCTACCCAAGACAGTCAGTTGATAACTCTGGTCGTTCCTACCGCTATGTCCAAAAGCCCGACTCGAAACATCCAAATCCCCACCCTCCTGGCTCAACTGCTTCTTCTGCAGATGGTTATGACTCATTCGAGAATACAAATAATAAGAAGAAACGCAAGATTCCTACACCCGGAGACTCAAATATCAATGGAGTTCATCTCTCCAACGATTTAGCAGGAATGGGAATATCTGGTCAAGATGAGGAGGATGTCAATGGTGCAGGATACTATCATGCCGGTGGCTCGGTATCTCAAGGTTTGTCGGGTCCTGGAAGAGGTAGATATGGCCGAAATCGCAATGGTAGAAGTCCCTTGAGAACTCTATCTGACGTTTCGGGTAACTGGGGCAATGGCCGCAATTCAAAACAACGACAACCCCAGTGGCCCACACCTAGTAAGTTTTTCTTTCCCCTCTCCAAAATTCAGACTGTGCTAAATTTTTTACTGATGACGATTGCAAAGACGAAAATGCAGGGATCATCTCAACTGCAATTGCAAACGCCGAGAAAGAGCCTCCAATAACTCCATCGAGGGGTCAAGAGAATATTAGTTTGTTGCAACAACAGGCATCCAAGAAACCGACCCCCACTTCTACTCAATTCACTTTTACTTGTGATTCTCAAGTACCGGCACCAGGACCTTGGCCTGGATCAACAAATACAAATATGCATCAAAGTCCTGCTGCGAGGTCAATGATGACACATGGAACACAGATGGGTTCGAACATGCAGACAAAATCCCAACAATCGGCGCATGCGCAGAAGCAAAGTGTGCCTCAAACGGCACCCCCAAAAAGAACCCGACGTCGAGCGAGCAAAGAATACCAAATTGCCGCTCGCCAGCGTCGTCAACAACAAGAATATCAGAACATAACTCATCCTCCTAATCCTGAAGATATTTGGATTTGCGAGTTTTGCGAATATGAGAGTATCTTTGGCGAATTACCCATGGCATTGATTAGGCAGTATGAAAGAAATGACAGGCGTATTAGGAAGCAGGAAGCAGAGAGGAAAAGATTGCTGGAGAAGGCAAAAACGAAAGGACGAAAGGGGAAAAAGGGTAGCAAGGCTGCAGCAAAGTCAATTCCACAGGATCGCCAAAATCAACATCAAAACTCTCAGCAAGGTAATCCAGCAGATCAAAACCACAGTCAAGGAACTCAAAGTGAAGATTATCCAGACGATGAGTATGATCATGAGTACGCTCAAGATCAACCCACCTCTCCCACGACTTCTTCATCTCTTCGTCCAATTGAGGTCTTACAGACTGATCATGGCAGGCGCATCGATGGAAATGCCGGAAGAAGTAGTGATGGTCGAATCGTGACCTGATGACGGTTTACATGGGATTCTATCTACATGATCATCATTCTACCATTCATCAGTCCGAAACATTCACTATTCTACATAATGATATCCCCCATATCTTCTTTGCGCGGCCTGGTGTGAGGCAAAGCCAAAATCCCCATTCATCTTCTCTTTTACGTCAGCATAAGCATTCAACTTCAAATAAAACGCTCCATCAGCGATCCTTACGAACTAGCATTAAGCATCAGATACCTTCGTGTGCTTCGTCTTCATTGCATCACTCCTCTCCAGCGAAAGATTTCAAGGGACGGACCAATGGGTGGAAGAGGCAGACAAGATGTTATTAATCAACATACCACAGCTTTAGAACCTACTTTATTGTACATGCACAGTATAGCTAGACCTGGGTTGATAATATATCTCTTCCTCCCAACTTTTCATCTCACTGAAATTCTACATTATTCTGAGAGCGAGTGCTAGTGCTAGTGATATAACAGATAAGTGATTTTTCTTTCAGTATCAGCAATCGATGAATTGTTGCTTCTCATGTCTCCTTTTCAAATACTAGAAAAATAATAATAATTCTCTCCATTAAACACTGTTTCCGTTCATCGTTATGTGTTCTTTGAATGATGATGTCAATATATCCCCGCGTAACAGGGGTCGCTTGGGCATGGAGTCAGCCTTGGGACGCTAAGCCTTGTACAGATGGTGGCTGTGTTCTCATAGTAGCATGCTACTGGTAGGCAACAACTTCCTAGATGACTCAATTACAGCCATCACGAAAATGTGTTGTAGCCTTATGGAAAGCTTAAGAAGTCTCTAATTTCTTCATCTACTTCGATTCTAACCTTTACCATTCTTCCCTTCTTGGCCTCTATTTATAAAAGGCGCCTCTCTTTACTAGCAGTAAATAACATATCGTACATGCAAATATCACAACTAAACTCACAATGTCTTTCCTCTCCGAATCAAAAAGCACAGCCTCGCGCCTTACAGGCTCTTTCCAAAACAGCAACCCGAAAGAAGTAACGATCAAGGAACGGAAAGCGAAAAGTGGAAGTGGGAGAAGAGGTTACGATGTGGTTAAGACGAATTATACATCTCTTCCGGTTGAGATACCGGAGGATTTTTTGCAACCACTGGAGAATCCGGAGAAAAATATTACGGTTCAGAGAATTGAGTTTGAGAAGACGGTGTTGAGCGAGTATAAGGGTGCGTATGCGGTCGTTCTGGATGGGGTGTTGAGTAAAGAGGAGTGTGGGGAGTTGATTAGATTGGCGGAGATGAGTAAGGGGGGGCATGTAAATTTGGTGAGTGGCGGAGGTGGTGATGGCGACGGGGGTGAGAATGAGAATGAGAATGAGAATGAACTCAAAGCACCAGAAAACAATGGATGGACTCCCGCAATGGTAAATGCAGGTGTGGGATATGAATTCTTCTCTACAGAATATAGGAATTCAGATCGAATTATCTGGGATGAGAAGGAGGTGGTGTCACGTCTCTGGAAGAGAGTTCTTCAAGGAAAGGGTATTGAAGAAGACATAGGGGTACTTGAGGGGAAGAGATGGGAAGGATTGGCTAGTTTGGGACTTCGGAGTGGTGAGCGATGGGTGAGCACTGAACAGGGAATCAATGAGCGCATGAGATTTTTAAGATATGGCGCTGGACAGTATTTTAGAGGTTTGCTTTCTTTTCTTTTTTTCGGCCATGTTTTCCTAGAGATAGGAAATCATCGTCTAACGTAAAAATAGAACATGTCGATGGCGCCTACGGAAATCCAGATGGTAGCGAACGTTCTTTCTTTACAATTCATCTCTACCTCAATGATTCAGCGCAAGAACTCGAGAAAGATCCTAATACGCCTAAATTCCCAAAAGATTCGGAGATGCTCAGGGGAGGGGCTACGACATTTCATTCAAGGGATATGAAGGAGAGATTGGATGTTGATCCCAAGGTGGGGAGGGTGTTGATTTTTCAGCATAGGAGATTATTGCATAGTGGGGATGATGTGGTGAGTGGCATCAAGTATACGATGAGGAGTGACTTGATGTTTAGATTTGAGGACGGGTTGGAGGGGGAGGATGATGTGGTTTTCGGATAGGTGTGTGAGTGATGCCGGGGAGGTATACCCTCGGGGGAATGAACTGCATTTTATTTGGATCTTAAGCTAGTGCATTTGGCATAGAAATGGGGAACAAAACAACAATTAAACTGCCATGACGGGCGGCTCTTTCAGTCATGTTCAAGTCTCTGTCCATACTCGAACAAACTATTTCATCTTGTCCATTCCCTCCACCAGAGATTGATAGATGAGCGAAGAAATTGAATACTTACTATATAGTATTCATGCTATCCACAAATTACTCTATAAGGTCATGATAGATCAACGTCTAGTCAGAGCAGTCCATACCACCCAATTGATTCTTTACTCATCAGGTATCTATCCAAAATGGCAAAAATTTCAGTTAGAGGCAAACACCACCGGTATCAAGTTAATTTCCAGTTGCACTCTTCGATATGAGTGCATTGACTGCTTCTCGAACAATTAACCATTTCTTTCGAATAGTGATTCGAACAACTGCGCCAAAGCGGCTCAGAAGTTTCGTTTGATAGATGGGGGGGGGGGGGGGTGGGGGGATTGTGGGTAATATATATGAGAGGTGGGTAGAGTGGGACTTGGTCTTTTGATCTAGTGGAATGGTGGATGAAATTCAAAGTTGGTGGTGGTGTGGTTCATGGGTGAGAGGGGAACGTATACGGAATCGGAGCTTGCTTTGATGGTCAGCGTTCTAGGATGGAAAATAAAGAGTGAGAGATAGGATGTTGGAAAGATTGAAGGTTATGTTGGTGCATTTTGCTATTCACTGTCTGAGTAATCTCGTCGCTAAAGAAATTGGATTGTGATATCCGCTATACTGATGGAATACATCGGATCAATAGAACCACCAATATCTTTCCTATACAAGCGAGTTTTGTCTTTGCACTGCTTACTTGCCAGGGTAATGGTATAGATCGCTCTTCTTTGGAGGTCACCTCGGTATTAGGATGAAATGAACAATAATAAGACAAAGTGACTCCTTGGCTAGGTTGAAACTTCAACACACTTGACCAGACTTGTTAGTCATAATCGCTCTACATCCAGTTTACCCCATCAGTATTAATTAAGTTTTGCTGAGCTACTACCGGTATTGCGGAGTGAAGTTAGAAGAAGGATGGTTTCGCTCGGCACGGCACGAGTTTGATAAAGTTTTTATGGAGATTCTAGCTTGGGTTTAGCTGGTTTTTCTCCTACCCCAGATATGATTCGGCTGATTCTCGGCCCCGCATTAGTACGCTTTCCATCGGCCATCAATTCAATAACTCGAGTTACTTCGTAAATAAATCTCTAAGGAATTAATCAAACCATTTTCTTCTTACAATCAGCGTTTCTGTCTTCGGTCTCAACTTTTATAGACCAAAAGCCCAAGTTACAATTGATAGATTCCAGAGATTACTCTTTGAAATTGATGTTCAAATGCATTCAGCAACCAGATCTCGAGTTCTAGCTCGAGCTCTCCTCCCTTCCTTTTCCCGACGATATGCCACCACTCCTGCGATCACTCCCATTACTTCCGTCCTCATAGCTAATCGTGGAGAAATCGCTCTACGAGTCGGACGCACAGCTTCAGATCTCGGTGTACAATGTACAACAATCTATACGGATCCTGACGCCAATTCACAACACGCACTCTCCAGTCCGTTTGCCGTAAATCTGGGTGCTGCGAATGCGTATCTTGACGGTGAACGAATTATATCTGTGGCAAAGGAACAAGGATGTGAGGCTTTACATCCGGGATATGGATTTTTGAGTGAGAATTCGGCGTTTGCGAAACGGTGTGTAGAAGAGGGGTTGGTGTTCATTGGTCCACCTTGGAAAGCTATTGAGGCTATGGGAAATAAATCTAGGAGTAAGGATATTATGATCAAGGCGGGCGTACCTTGTATACCTGGATATCATGGGGAGAATCAAGAACCTGAACATCTACTCAATGAGGCGAGGAAGATCGGCTTTCCAGTTATGGTGAAGGCTGTGAAGGGCGGTGGTGGAAAGGGTATGCGTATTGCTCAGACTGAAGGGGAGTTCCTTGAGAAGCTGGAGAGTGCGAAGAGTGAAGGGAGAAATTCTTTTGGTGATGATGTTATGTTGGTCGAGAAATATATTGCTACGCCAAGACATATTGAGGTACAAGTTTTCGCTGATAAACATGGTCATGCTGTTGCTTTGGGCGAGAGAGATTGTAGTTTACAAAGACGACATCAAAAGATCTTGGAAGAAGCGCCAGCGCCAAATTTAGCGGAAAACATTAGACAGGATCTTTGGGAGAAAGCTCGTGCTGCTGCACTTGCTGTGGGCTATGAGGGTGCTGGGACAGTAGAATGTGAGAGATGTTTCCATTCTTTTTTCCTCGAAGCTAACTGAAATTATAGTTATTTTCGACAACGATACTAATGAATTTTTCTTCATGGAAATGAACACTAGATTGCAGGTTGAACATCCCGTGACAGAAGAAATTACTGGAGAAGATCTCGTTTCATGGCAATTCAAAGTTGCAGCTGGTGAACCATTACCACTTGATCAAGATACGATAGCTCAAAGAATATCTGAACGTGGATGGGCACTTGAGGCACGAATCTATGCAGAGAACCCAGATCAGAATTTCATGCCTGATTCTGGAAAGCTTGTCCATTTACGAACACCAAAACTCTCGGAAAGTGTTCGAATAGATGCGGGTTTTGTTCAAGGAGACACAGTCTCATCAAACTACGATGGTATGATTGCAAAACTTATCGTGAGTGGTCCGACAAGAGAAGTAGCTATACGAAAACTCCACGCAGCTTTACAAGATTATGAAGTAGTTGGCCTAAGTACCAATATTGAGTTTCTCAAAAAGATTTGCAAAAGTCCTGCATTCATTCGAGGTGATGTTGAGACTGGATACATACAAAAGCATCACGATAAGCTCTTCACAAATGAGACTATTGAGCCTGAAGCATTTGCCCAAGCTGCTCTTGGTATATTATCGCAGGAACTTTCGGCAGCGAATTCCAAATCGATCCAAGGACCTCATGGCGAGGCAATTGGTTTCAACTCTCACGTACAACGCGAATTTAGTTTCACAAAACCTATCATTCAACCATCAAGCGAAAAGCCGGAAATCTACCACGTAACCATTGACCAATCTGACCGCAATTTATACAACATTACGGTAAAGGGACCCAATGTCGAAAAATCATACGCAAACATCGTTAGCGAGCCAAAGTCCCCTACTATCTCGACTTTTTTCCCCCACACTCGAATTGAAAGCACATTAATCAGACAAGATGATAAAATCACACTCTTCCAACAGGGAAAACAATTACAATTACAATTGGCAACGCCGGGATGGTATGAGAAAGCATTGGGGTTGAAAGACGTGAGAAATAGTGTAGTAGCACCGATGCCATGTAAGGTATTGAGAAATGAGGTTAGAGAGGGAGAGGAGGTGGAGGAGGGACAGGCGTTGGTTGTGTGAGTATTTGTTCAGATTGGAAATTTGGGTGATGGTGCTAATGTGTTGAATGTGTAGGATTGAGAGTATGAAGATGGAAACGGTGATTCGAAGCCCACAGAAGGGAGTTGTGGCTAAGTTGGTACACAAGGAAGGAGTGAGTAGATTTTCTTGGGTTTTGTCTCTATTGACTCTGAATTCATGGAAGTATGATGAAGAATATATGCTAACGAATCGTACGAATAGGATATTTGTAAAGCAGGTACTGTGCTTGTGCTATTCGAAGAGGTATGTTAGAATCTTCGCTTGTCTTTTGCTGGATCTTCAGACTAATCATGTGTCACGCAGCACGAATAATGATTCAATACAAATATCAAATCATGCGTTTGAGATGATTCTTATGAATTGATGTATATTATGATTAGTAGATGAGTTTTACAATGCATATAAGAATAAAAAACTAAAAAACAGATTGAATTTTAACACATTCGTAGTTCTGCTACTAACACTCATAATTGTGCCATCATATTTCAATATTTCAATATTTCAACAATTCATCATAATTTCTCCTCCTCTTGAACCGGCATTTCAACAATGTGATCTACCCCCTCGTATTCTGGGAGTTGGAGATTATATTTTTGAGAAATTTCTGGGGTTACGAATCTAGATATCGATGTTAGCTTTCTCAATCCCCTGTCGTATATACATTTATACATCTATCTCCAGCTAACCATACCAACGACCGCAATCAAAGAGCAATGAAAAAGGAGAAAAAGAAAGGGAAAAAAATCATACCTCCCACCCAAAAAATGTCTTCCCTTGAAGAACCTGACCAGAGGTTTTGGCGCCGTCAAACTAATCAGATACTGAGGCATGAAATTTGCGCCGGGACCGGAAGATGGAGGACCAGTGGCGATGTCCCAGGAGGAAGGCGCGTCGATGGATGTTATGGGGAGGGAAGTGGTTTCTAGAGCGCGGATTATGGAGGCGAAGGGGTCGCGGATGCTGCCGGAGAAAGAGAAGCCTGGAGATGGGGGGAGGGTTAGTTGAGTGGGGGGTGAGGGGAAGAAGGAGGGGAAAGGGGAAGGGAGAAAGGAGAAGGGGAAAGGGGAGAAATACCGAATATAGCATCGACGATGTGATCAGATTCTTTCAGAGCTTCCGAAAAATCATCGGTAAATGGGATCGAGAGATTGCGGAGCTGAGTAGAGAGACGCTACAACGAGTTAATATATCTATATCTCACGGCTAAAATAGATGTAGATCGGTAGATGTTTGTTCTATATTACATAGGAAGAAGACATTTAAGCGAGAGGCGAGCAGCATGAAAGATATAGAAGAGGATTTCATACTTGATAAAGTTCATTTTTACCCTGTTTGGGATAATAAATAGTGGGTTTGTAACCGTAATGCCAGAGATGACGAGCTGCGACTAGACCATCACCTCCTGATTTGGGGAAAATTAGTTTTTGTGATGTTTCGGACGATGGGAATGGGGAGAGGAGTGGGAGATGTGGATGTAGATGTTAATTTGAATGGAACTCGATTTTACGTACCGTTGTTTCCGGGTCCGCATGCGACGAGAATTCTTCGGCCTTTGGAGGGAGGATGAACTTTGTATACTAAATTGGTTGGGTTATGGTTAGTTGTTTTGTTGTGTTCTGTTTTGTTGAGAGTAATGTGATGGATGGAATGGTATGGTATGAAGTATTTGACTTGGAGATATGTCTTTTGACGAGAGTTCGAATGGCCCAATGTAATGGATGGCCGAAGTAACAGAGTCTCGAGATGACATAATTCATACACTAATATGAATACATATCCCCACCCCCTCGTATCTTCTTCGTCTCTCCATCCCCTTTTATTTCCTCCTCAACTTTCCTTTCACGCAGATACATTTCTTCACAAATCACAGAAAACCCTCATAAACACAGCCCTAGAATACATCACCCCTCCCCCGAGAACGAACCACACAAAAAAAGTAAATCATACATACCCACTTGTGAAACACTCAATCCGGCCAATTCCATCAATTGGTCGAGAGAAAATGCTCCGAGAGACATAAGATCTTTATCTAAAGCTGCTGCGTTGGCGGCGGAGAGGTACTATGGGATGTTAGGTTTGTGTTTGGTTTGTGGTGGAAGGGTAGAGGAATATACTTTGGCTGCCATGGTGGATGGTGTGATGGGATGGAAGTTGAGATACTTTGGGATGGATGGTGATTGTATGAGTATAATTCTGTAGTTGTAGTCTGATAATTTGATAGCGTGGTTTAATATAACAGACGAATATATAGTTGACTTGAATGTTGATCAACGGGAGGTACCTAAACGAAATCACGATTCTAATCAACCGAAACGATAATCATTCAGTGATCGATGGAGAGACAAACTAATCCGTTAAATGAATAAGATTACCCAGTACTTTTCCCGAAAGAAAGGAAAAGACAAATAAATCAATAATCCTATATGTATTTTCTCAAACAACTTTCGTAACCAAAGATAGAGAAATAGACATCCTGCAAACAAAGTTCACCCACCCACCTCATAACAAAGCACAATTACATCACTACCCCTCCTCTCCTCCCATTCCACCCCCTACCCTCCACCCCTTGCCCGACACTTCCACCCTTCCACCCCCCCCCCCCCCCAAAAAAAAAAATTCCCGCTACCCGAACAACCTCCGAACATCAAATAATTTCCCTCATCTACAATCCCATACCATCCACATCACATCTTATCCATCTATCCAACCCCCTCAATCCCTCAATCCCCAAAAAATAAAATGGTCGTACGCATCCGACTCGCGCGCTTCGGCCGCAAAAGAGAACCCTTCTACAACATCGTCGTTGCACAAGCCCGGTAAGATTTTCCCCTCTTCCCTCCCCATCAAATCACCACTAACCCCCAACAGCTCAGCGCGCAATTCCCTCCCGCTTGAAGTCCTCGGCACCTACGACCCAATCCCCAAACTGCCCGCGGACGGCGAGGGACAAAAGTTCAAAGATATTCGTCTCGACACGCTGCGCGCAAAGTATTGGTTGGGAGTGGGTGCGCAGCCGTCGAAGACGGCGTGGAGATTGTTGAGTATGGTATGTTTTATTTTTATTATTATCTTATTTCGATAGCATCGCTTTCGCATTCTATACTATAATCTATCAAGATATCAGAATAACAAGATGGGAATTGGGAATTGGGTATCAAAAGCCCATAAATCCCCCCCCCCGCCCCCAAACCTCCAATCCCACACATCGAACCTCCCTCCTCAAACCCCAATTACTAACCTCCTATTCCCCAGGCCGGTCTCCTCGAACCTCAATACACACCGCAATCCAAAACCCCCACGTCTCCCAATTCCAGCAAACCCATTCTCAAGAGCGATTCTTAGCTTGAATCCACTCCATTTCCATCCCATTCCTCTATTTGCATGTCTGCTGCTACATCTCTCCTACACTTCTCCTACACCTCACCAAAACATTATCCATTTATCCCTCTCTATATCTATCCATTTTCCCCAATCAAGAATAATCTTCATAAATACCAATACAATTCCAATTCCACCGCTAGCCGCTCGAAAAGCCCTCGAGAGAAGATAGATAGATAGACAGACTCGTGCAAACAAAACGACAAGAAACAAACAAACTCGCAGGAGAAAGCAAACCAAAGCAAAGGAAAGCAAAACTCTTACCTCTCTCAAGCGCATTAGAACTAGAACTAGAATGGGATGGGATGGGATGGGAAGGATCGAGTTTATATCTATCTATCTACGGTATAACGATAAATTGAAAACTGGCATCCAATGAGTAAGGAAAGGAGGATATATGCAGCGTGTACAGAGCGTTTCAAGTTTCACATCTTTCACCTTACATACTACATATACCACGATGTGCGCACAAATACTAAGTAAGAGGGAGGGAGGAATCTTTATTCTTGCGAGGAAACGAATGTTTGTTTGTATTCATAGATGATATGATAGATCGGTCAGTGGATGATAGATGAATGGTAGTGATGATATGGGAATCACACCGGACTGACGTCCATTTGTAAAAATAAAATAAAATAAATCGGGAGTTAGGAATTTCCAAAAAAAAAAGCCAAATCAAATTAAATCACATCACATCACACACCTATCGTCTAACATCATCGAACCAGTTCCAAAAGTGATCAAAAAATACATCTTTCATTATAACAAAAGGCCGTTATATATAATCCTCATGTCCAAATCCTATATACATCCAAGTAGGTCCCCAAAAATTATGGCATGAGTGAATGACTAAACATCACCATGTTTGACTTTTCTGATCCATGCCCGTTTCCAAAATGCCATGATATGAACTCCCGACGCCTTGCCAATTTATGATTTTCAAATGCGATACAAACTTCAGAGGTGAATCTCCCCTATCAATCAACTTCAATGCCCCTGGGCCGTGAAGAAGAGGTTGGTCGTTAAACAAATGACCAATACACAAAGACCGTAGATAGCCAATGCCAAAGAAAGCTTTCGTAAGATGGTTTTACGCCATGTAATCTTCTTGATGGATTGACCAAGTAAGCCTTGACCTTCCTCCTCATCTTCATCAGAATCTGTTTCGTCATCTTTTGCTAATCGTTGGTGATGGATTGAATCTGGTGAAGAAATCTTGTAGTAAAACAATCCTGGTAAAATGAAACTAATACTTGTACTTCCTGTACTTCCAACATATGCGAGTACTTTATCGAGTGATGATACAGTAACTGCAGTAAAATAGCTAAGAGCAATGATGATCGTGGTAATGATTGCAAATCTTGTTTCACCAATAGTATCATTTCTTGCGGCAGGTCGTACACGACCACCTGAGAGTAAAGGAGCAGAGCGTGCAGGCGAACCAGTAGGTGAATGACTTCTCTTCCAGGAGTTTGGACGCCACTTCAAGACTGCATCGACTGATGCTCTACAAGGATGTACTTGAAGTGGATAGGAGAACATGACAAGAATGACAATAGCTGCTTTAGCGATTGTTGAGGCAGTAGATGGTATATCTATACTTGTCAGTGTTATGGAGTTGTAATTTTAGTAGAGTACTTACACATTCCAACAATGTTTCCCTTCACGGCGTTACCAAAAGATAGGTATCCAGTGATCGCGACTAAAACGTATATAGAAGCAGCACTTCCAATACTTGCCGCAACAACACCTGTAGTTCGCTTAGGTGAGTTATCTTTGATTTCATTCAGAATAGAGAACATCTACGACTGTTAGTATACCAACGGAAAACTAAGGTGTTCACAACTTACATTTTGATGACAGGTATAAGCAAAGACAATGACGGGGAAACTTTGCAACGTTGGGACGATTCCTGCCCACTCCACCCCTCTAAT